AGGTAATACCCTACTCCTGTTTGGGGATTTGAATCCGCCGGGTGTATTATAGATCTGACGATCTAATTGTGAATCATACCCCCTAGAGGGCCTCCTGCCCACCTTATATAGGATGGGGGGGCAGGATTACAAGATAGAAACCTTAACCAATACGGTATCGGTTTACTAAATCTACTTTACAATATTATCAAACCAGGACTTTAGGCCGTTCTGTAATATACAAGGAAACGTAATACCCAAGTCATGATCTGTTACATATTCCATGCATATAAGTTATCTCTTATAAACAGTCGGATAACCATGCCGTGTAGGTATGGGGTACCCATAATCTCCACACATAACTTTCAATCTCACCTTGATTGATCGGACATGGATGGTGACGAGGTTAATCTTGTATGCATATGTGCAAATGACGGGTTCTGTTAGAATGGGTGGTGTCAGGAAAATGTGTTGGTCGCGCACTCACCCTCCTCCTACTTAGTTTTTGGAGAAAAGGCAAAATCTCAGCTTTTTATCAAAGCATAACAGTTCACAGGATGCTGAGGATTCCAGCTTAAGGATATATAAAAGCAACCTGTCTAGAAGACAGAAACAGGACTATTTCTGGCACAGCATAACAAGCCAGTAATAGAAAGTATCAAGCATACAAGTCCAACAGGAGAAGCCAAGTAGACAAGAAGATTGTTCAGATCGACGCCATCAGCTGCTTGCACCTTCTGTCGCGCGGATACTGGCAAGCAGTAATCCTTGTACATTCTCCAAACTCTCCCTGGCCTTAGTTTCGTCGGCGCTAGATTTTTCCAAAGAAATTGCAAATGACAGAGCTTAATTGTAAGGCAAAAACACAATATATATCTGTCATAAGTTTAATATTGAACACCCAATCATTTCTGATAAGCCAAACCGCCCACACTACTGCAGCAAAATGAAACCACGGGATCTTATTTTTAAGTCAATCTGATTCTGAATTAGGTTTACCACTAGAAAATGAGCGTGCCAATGGCACGCTAGCTAGTTTATAGCATGTGCATTTTCTTAAGAAATAATACCCTCAAAATAATTATTTAAAGGTTTTCTTAATTTTATATTTGTAAAATTAAGTTAGAGTAGTAAAATTATCTTGATTAGTGGTCTTATCATGTTGATCGGACTAGCTATTTAATTTGGATAAATGACTAAACCTGACATATATTGGTGAAAAAACGTGTTTTACTAATATTCAATGCAATTGTCATAAACCTGCAAGTGATAGAGTTTGTATAATCAGTAGGAAATACACATCTAAAATAAATGTGTCTTCGGTTACCTATTTCTTAATGCTAGTTTCATTTAGAAATAAGGGACATTGACATGGTAAAGATACTGAATGTAACTCAGCTGGTTAATTTCCGTTGTTTCAATGGTAGGCAATCTACCAATCTTCATCAATCCAAAGATATGCTTGACGACCTAGTTTTCGGAGGGGCTCATGTACATTTACAGAGTAAGTGTACGCACAGGTGTATATGAATGTCTATATTTATTCTGTGCTTCACACACAAAATTTATAGCAAAATTATTATTGTTAGTTACCCATGTTCCAAAATAAATGGATTCCTAGCATCTAGAAAAAGTATAATGTGAGGAGAGAAAACAGAAATGTTCCGAACTAATAGGAAAGTAGTGTTGAAATTATCGGTTAATAGGGAACACACAGAATAAACTTATATGTCCATCTAATTTCACCTTTTATTCTTTCCATTATATAGAAATTTAGATACCTATTGTAGATTGTATTTATCTGAAGACTTTTGATTGTCCTAACGCAATCCTCGCTGGTACTCTATTTTTTATTTAATTTCACTATTTTTAAAAAATTTTAGAAACACATGATGCTTACGTGATGACTTTCCCTCATTCCAACTAACCTGTAGTGGATTTGTTGTAATCCTATTGTTTTCTTTTTTTCCTTTTATAATGGCTCTGCACGTGCTACCTTCAGTCCTTCACGCTACCTTTTTTTTCCCTTTCTTTTGAGCGAACGGGCTTATCGCTGTGTGAGGAGGCCATGCGCATGTACATATTGCGGAAAGGCCGTGGGACGCCTGGGCTAGGCCCAAGGTCGCACGGCCTAGCTAGATGCAGGCCCACCCCACACGTGCACGTTTATGTTTTTCTCCGATCTCTCACGATGCGGATACTTCACCCATCACTTTAACATGTGGCAGTTCCTAAAAGAATTCAAACCAAATTCGTAGGGTGCCACGTGGCCCAATAGAAATCTAGATCATAGGCCTTGAATTCGGTCTTAGAGATTTCACTTCTAGAAGCAGGGATCCTTTGCCAGCCAAATGCATCTCTAAAAACACACCACATAAATTGGGCAGGTGGCCAGGTGAGCATTTAAAAATCAGATGGTCCACATCTTCCTTAGACTCACACAACTTACAAAATGGGCTACCAAGCCATTTCATTTTTTTATGTTGTTTGCCACTTGAATTCTCCCCTTGAGCATTAGCTACATAAAGATTTTTATTTTAAAAGGGATTGAGGTCTACCAGAGTTCTTGAAGTTCAACATCTTTAACCCCACCAAAGACAATTTCTTTGTACAACTTCCAGATCATCAACAACAAACTGCATTCAGGAGCAGCAGCAGTAATTCCAAGCAGCAGCAGAACACCATGTACATCTTGGCAGCCATTCAATCCAAATATTTAAATAGGTAACTAAATTTACTTTACACACCTTTAAAAAAATAAGTGCAATCTTCATAGCCCAAAAAAAAACTATTAAAGCTGCAACCAAATTGGTGTAGACCTAAACAAATTTGAGTGCTACTTGATGGAAAATGAAATGAATTTATGCTTAAGCCGAACGTCGACTTAAAATACTATTGTTCACACTTTTATAGTAGTCTTGCTCCTCGATGAACATCACACTAGTATCTAGCCTCATAATCCTATCTTATTCTATCATTCTCTTCAACTCAAACTTTTCTTTCTCCAAACCAATCCATTGTTGATCAAGTGCGAATGCAACTTTGTACCTCTCCGCTTTTTGCCGCTCTTTCTCCGCATCATCCTCTTCCTTCCTAGCCCATAAATAATCCAAAGCATCAATATGTGATTGATCTAAGCATTAATGTTGTTTTTCTTTCTCTTTCTTCCTCCCTGCAGGTCTTCCTGATGGCTGCATACCATCACCTGGAATATGATTCTCTCTTGAGGGACGTAGCTCTGAGGACTGGAAGGTGCAAATGTAGCAAGAGTAGATTGGGCATGGATCTTCTGTTTCTTATTTATATTTTTTGAGCTGCCTTCTGAATGCGCTATTCAATCCACTTCGACTGGTCCTTCAAAAAATTGTAGCAATACATGAACTGAAAAGACCTATCTTCATCGTCTTCCTTCTTATACAACATCTCAGCCTACAGAAGCTGCATATATAATTACAAAAGAAAATTAGGCTAAAAAGTACCTAAATGATTAATATAAGAATAACATATACAATAGTTTAATTATCACCTTGTCCTTAGCATTGACACCACTCTGAGATCTATTCTCGATATGACTTACACAACCAACGAACTTATTGACACACTCTTATATAGTGGATCAATGATGCATGAGTGAATTTTGATCAGGGCACTCGCACGATCTCCACTCCGCGTAACCGAACCAGATAAGTCGCACGTAACCTATCCGAATTTCTCGCAGCAAAACAAAACTGCAAAAGGAGGCTGCATCTACGCAAAGGTGAGGAACCAATTTTGGCGGACTGCGCGCCGCCATGCCAAGCAAGCGAGCAAGCGAGCATGTGTGTTCCCTCTCTTCTCTCCATCTCACATGTTTTAAGTGGCTAGGAGGGCATCCTCCCTTTTAAGAAGGTCCCCCTCTCCTAGAATAAGCAATGTGGTACTAAACTTCCAATGCATGCCATCCCATGAGGTGGGCTTTTGTGATTTTCCTAAGAATTAATCTTCGAGTGGACTAAGGCCCATCTATTAATTCCAACAAACAGCGCAAAGGATAAAGCCGACCCTGGAAACCTTTTTGAGCTAGCGGGCACAGGCACGATGAACCACCGAGCGGGAACATTTTCGCCTCTCGCGCGGGAAGGAGAGGAGAGGCGAGGAAGAGATGGGAACTCCAAAACTTGTGCAAGGCTATTGGTGATCTATGGATTTTTTTACTACACTCAAAATCAGTTTTTGAAAGGAAATAGGAGAATTTTTGGTGATGCTCTTAGGTCTTTTACAATACAACGTACTACTAATAGGAACATAATATGCCATATAGGATGAGGTTTTTTAAAGATCCAAGCACCACAGTGCAGGCCATCCTATCCTCACGACGCTGCTTTCCCACCATTCCACGCCCTCCCTTTCTTCCCAGCTGCTTTTTCAGCTAGATTCCACACCCTCTCTCTCTTCCTAGCAGCTTTTTCAGTTTTTTTAGAGGAAGCACTCTCGCCCATGAAAAGCACCGAGCATTGAAGCGAAGGTCCAAGGGCCCACACCTTCCCTCCTCCACGACATCATGCGGCTTAGGTGGAGCGGCGAATCCACACGACAACGTGGAGCATTGTGAACGGCCTTAGAACTTTAAATCTGTATAGAATCCCTTAAAAAGAGTCGTTTAGGGGTGGCTTAAATTCTTGAGAGAACTCTCACCCAACTATTACAACCCCATTCCACACTATAAAATGTTATACTTTATTTAGATTCGCTGATATCTATATAAATTTAGACAGACAGATGAATTAACAAATCAATTTTAAAACCTAAATCATCTTAAGTTAAACAGATGAAGTAGTTTGGAACCTTGCCATCCCGATCGGCCAACCGTGGTGACAATTCATTAGCGACGAGTCAACAGTCTGCTGCCTCCTCGCACCTCGCTCAAGTCGCAGACCAAAAAACAGGGTGGATTGCAGGACGTTTACACGGTTTACAACCGCGTAACTTGGTCACGTAGTACGTTCTTGGCTGCATCCATCCCTTCGTCACTAAGGCAATTAATTAACAGAATACTAATAAAAATTGTTTGTAAACTTGGCCTTCAATTTCCCACCCACTCGCGAGCTAACCGCATTGAAAATCCCCCCCGCCCCAAAATCTCCAATCCCCAACTCGCCCTCCCCTTGCCTTGGAAAATCTTCTACTACTCCCCCCGCGGGTTCCTGAGCCCCGCGCGCGCGCGATCAGGAACCCTCGGGGTACTCGGATTCCGCCCGCACGGGGGTCGACGAATTCCGCAACCCGTTGTTTCTTTTTTTTTTCTTTTCCTCGATTGGTTTTTCTGCGCGATTCCGATTCCGGCGGAATTTTTTTTCTTTTTGGTCTCCCTGTTCCATCTGAACTGCGCAGCTGTTCGTAGAGAAATTGTTTTTGGGGGCTTTTCCACCCAATCCTGCAGCGATTCCCCGCAGAAACCTCTCACCATCTATCAAAAATCCCCTCTTGTTTTTTTCTTCTCTCATCGGGGGGAAAAAAAAAGAAGATCCCCTTTTTGGGTGGGCGATCTTGAGCCCGCATGGGGCTGCAGCAATCCAAGGAGGAGCTGGTGTATCAGCAGGTCAACTACGGCAACGCCGATGGGATTCGGGCGCTCCGGGCGCAGGGCGCAGGTCTTGAGGCAAGGATGAGATTCTCTCTCCTTTTTTTCTTCTTATGTTTCATTATTACTCTACATAGATTGATTAGTGTTACTGTTTGTTGAGGGTTGGATGCTGTTTGCTTTGCAGTGGATCGACAAGGAAGGGAAGACGCCCCTGATGGTCGCGAGCATGCGGCCTGATCTGATCAATGTGGTTCAGGTGCTGATTGAATTGGGTGCAAATGTGAACGCCTACCGTCCTGGTATTAGCACTGCCCTGATTCAACTTATATCAGCACTGTTCTTCGTCCCCTGTGTTATAGATAAAAAGATGGTCTGTCCAAATTCTGCAGATTGGAGATCCTTAGTTCGTTGTTTTTAGTTTAATTTGTTGTATTAGCTGAAATCCAGTTATTGGGCTGCTTTGAAGTGAATTAATTTGTAGACTGCCTGGGTGTTGTGTAGAAATTTGCAGTATGAAGTGGCACCTTAACGTCGATTAGTACTGAACCTTCTAATTCAAATAGAGAGCGAGGGTGTTTGTGGGCAAATAGAAAATGATTTTGCTTTAGCTTGCATTTGTTATAGTTCTGGCATTTAGACGGTGGTGCATGAAACCAAATGAGTGGAGCCGCAGTATCCCAGGATTGATACACATCGTGCCATCATGAAAGAAGAGTTGGATGTGTTTCCGTTTGCTTCCATGCCAATGCTTCCCATACCAACATGCAGGGAGAGCCATTGAATGTGATTTTTCTTAGTAATTCCCTCCATTGATTAATATTGAACATAGTTTCAGAAGTTTTGTTGGTAGAGGTTTGGATGTAAATTTAAGTAGGTTTTCCTATGATATTTCCTATTTGTGTTTTCTCCCTCAGTCTCAGCTCTCATGCACATACTAACTACTCATGCTATATCTTCTAAAACAGTTAGCATCTTAATCATTCTTCATGGTCAAAATACTCTATAACTTATATCAACAAAGGGCTTGGCACCTCTGTACAAATTATTTTTTTTCCAAGTTAGACACCCAAATCCGATAGTATTCTTAAATGCATGTCAATTTCCATGTGTTATTTTTTGCCCCCATTTTTTTAGCAGAATTCAGATGACCAAATATCCCCTGATTTCGACACATGTCTTTATCGGAGTATAGGAATTTATTTTCTACTAGAATTCAGTTTAAACGAGATTTAGTGCCCTTTGTTGCACTTCCATAACTCTTTGGGTTCATCCCTGAATATGTGCTTACATGAAGAGGGAAAGCCAGTAGGCCACTATGAGTTATATTTTTATCACATCTAATAACTTCTTTTATTCTGCAGGGTCATATTGTGGGACTGCATTGCACCATGCTGCCAAGAAAGGTCTTGAGCAGACTGTCCATTTGCTTCTATCTCATGGAGGTACAATTGTGTATATTCAACATACTATTTTTCTGCCCTGTGATAGTTCTACAACAATGACATCTTTTGCTGTATTCTTGCAGCTAATCCGTTTATAACAAATGATGATTGCCACACGGCACTTGATTTGGCTAGAGAAAAGGGTCATGTGAATGTCGTACGAGCCATAGAGGTATGTTTTTTTCCTTTTAACATTTGGCTTCGCATTAGTGTAGTCATGACTCATTTCTATTATTTGCTTTATGTTCATTAATTACTTTTAGGGACGTATTTCTCTTTTTTGTGGATGGATGAGGGAGAACTATGGTCCTGGATTTTTGGAAGCATTTGCTCCACAATTCCTGACTAGGAAAATGTAACACTTTCTTCGACCTTTGCATAATTTTCTATAGTCTACAGTATTACCTTACATATGTATCAAAGTGCTCATATATGTCAGGATTATTTCTCAGCATATTTTATGAGTTCTTAACCCATGCTTAAATGTCTTCTCAGTTGGGCGGTGATTTTACCCCGTGAAGCACGAAATCAAACTCGGCCACTCAAGCTTGAGCTGACGATATACCCTGAATTGCAGGTACCAAACTGAAAGTCTGTGTCAATGCTCATTTGCTTAGGTCTAATGTAGTAAATTATATGTGGCATATCAATGGACTCTTGTGTCTTGTTCTTACTAAGATGAGATTATTAGTAATGGATTAGTGACTTCTCCTGCGTTTGTAGTGCGTGCTTTACTTATTTATATTCTCTAAAAGGAAAAAGTCTGCACAGGAAATGGCAAGCTCCCTGTACTTCTGAATTTTTTTCTTTGGCAACTATCCACTTAATTTATTTCCTCTTTATTTAATTTATTGAACATTATTTAACTTCCCACTTGCCCTCCCTGTACTTCTGAGTTTTTTTTTTCACAACTAACCACTTAAATCATTTCCTCTTTATTTAATTCTTTAACTTACCACCTGCTGTCGGTATGGCGGTAAATGTACTTGGTATCTCAAAGATCAAAGGTACAGGGTGACCAATATTACCAATTTGTGTAGCACAGCCACAGATGTATACCTTCCGTGTCATAATTATAAACATGTCATTTCTTCTTGCTGCAGTACAAACATAGATGCAAACTTAGATTAGTTAAGGACATCATACAATTGGTTTTGTTAAAAATCTTAAATTAGAGTTTTGTTTACTGCAGTAATATAAACAGTATTTCTGTTCTCTCTGTTCTTTTAAGTATTAAAATTGAATTATTTTAGCATTTTCTATAGCTATATGGTATTAGATTGATTGTTATGTGTTAACATTTCTGTTTTATGATCAATCAGGCTTCTAAACCACAAGCTGTAATTAAACTTTGGAAATGTCAACTTGAGGAACCAAAGTTTAATCAGGCCAATCCTTCTGTGACAATTTTCGACAAGGGAACAAGTATGTCTATTTCAGTTTTCAGTCATGTTTGTGCATATTCTAAATGCTTGTTTGTTTTGGCACCTAAATTCTTTATCAGCTTTTAAACATTTTATAATTTTCATGCAACTTTGATTATGCCCTTCTCAGGTGTCAGATATAATTTGATAAAAAACATCTGTTTGTGTCCTAAAACATAAAAGTTGCATGTTGTCAACTTCCTTCTCACATTTCATGAGCTCTTCACATGTGAAAAATATTGGTATGTTTAGCACATTCCAGATTTCCAGCTAGGATGTTCAAGCTTAGGTAAATGTTATTCTGTCTGAAGATCCCATGGCTGTTTATACATGTTGGCCTATAGGGCCTATAGGAAACAAATAGTAATACCACATACATAGGTTCAAGTAAAAACTGATTTTCTGTACTGTTCAATTTTCAATAGAGTACTCAGTACTTAAAAAAAAAGAAGAGAATCATGAAAGGTGAAAATGGATAAATGAGAAGGAAAGTACACATTAAGAATTCTTTCGTCAGTATTTTCCCCTCTGCACCCTATGGACAAAGCATAAATACATCGAACGCCATATATTTTGTATGAATCTGCATAAGGGGTCCTTAATTGTGATGCAAGTAGTACCAGTAGTTGAAGTTTTTTTTTCATTGTATTGTTTCCCTTGTCTTTTTGCCACGTGTGGCCTTATGCTGATGAAAAATAGGGTAATTTGTATTATCATACACATTTACACAAATGGTCCCAGACTTACCGTACTAAATTCAATTCATTGTGTAAGATTTTTTTTATTCCTGGAATAGCGTATCCTTTTGCTCTTTCTGCAAAATGCATACATTGTTTCTTGAGTTACATTTGTGAACTGTGATCTGTACTTCATAGTTAGATTAAACATGGGAATATTTGCTAACTTGTGGTCTGATTAAGATGTATCTATCATCTTCTAATTTTCTTTGAAATATTTTGCACAGGAACTCGATACAAGCTTCTACCGGTGTGTGAAGGTGACAAACAGCAGCTTCAATGGTTTTATAGTGCATGTTGTGGCATTCCACAGGTGACAAACCTTACTTTATGGAATATTTTCCTTACCTGTTTGGCTCTAATAGTAGTATATTCTGAATGGTCATTTGAATAGCAAACCTTTCTCCTATTGCTGAATTTAGCAGAAATCTCTACGCCCTAGAGCATGATTTGGTTATATATCAAATATCATCAGTTAATGGTTGTATCAATTATTGGTTATAGTTAAGTTGATGTCTGATTCTTTTATCAATATGAACTTAACTTTGATTAGTCAATAGTAAATCATCATTTTGTACAGAGGAAAAAATGCTGCATTTTTCTGAACCTCTTTGTTTTAGGTTGCCAGCATGGTTCCTGCTCAACCAGCGAATGCCCCACTGCCAAATCCATCATCAGCATCATCATTACCTTCAGTGATATCCACACCCAGCAAGGAGGATGCTGAGTTAGCAATGGCCATCAATGCCTCCATCCTGTCAGCTATAGCCGAGGGAGTGCCCGATGTTCAGCCAATAACAACGACTACTGCGACCAATGATTGGGGAAACCCTCCAAGCAACTCCCTCAATGGATGGGGCCCACCAGATACTTCTGCGCCTTCAAAGACAAGTGGCCAAGTACCAGTTGTTACATCAAGCAGTAGCACATACAATGGGTGGGACGTGCCTGGAACAAGCTCTGGCCAAAGTTCGTCCAAACACAACAAAAGCCAGAACAGCACTTTCGTGGTTCCGCAGGAGGCGCTTCCATCTCTTCCAGTCCCAACTGCGCCTCCACTTGCCGTGGGAACCTTCTACGATGGTCCTATTCAGTATCCGTCAATAGATTCCACGCCAGTCGACGTAACCATGCCTTCTGCTGACGGTGGTACAGCGGTAAGCTCTGCAAAACCTGCAGAGAACGAAGGTGATGCAAAACCTGCAGAAAGTGATGCTAATGCAAGCAACAGCGGTAACACTCCACCGGGAACCTGTGTTATTTGTTTGGATGCTCCTGTGGAAGGTGCCTGCATTCCGTGTGGTCACATGGCTGGTTGCATGTCCTGCTTGAAGGATATAGAATCAAAGAAATGGGGATGCCCCATTTGTCGAGCCAAGATTAACCAGATTATCCGCCTCTATGCAGTTTGAGCAATTCCAACAATCAAATAGTAGACATGGGAATGAACAATGGGTGTTTGTTCTTCGTTACAAGTTCTGATGGAAAAAGAAAAGCTCCATCTGTAAAGTATGTCATGCTGTCAGCTGTGATTTTGATGTTCCAATTGTACTGAAAAAATTATACATTCTGTGTTATGTGCATTACGTGAAGCTATGAACGGTAGTACGATACATTACTATAGGGAACTTGTGTACATATATATCTATGAGAACTATACAGTATACATAAGATTAATTGTTGGCTAAATGTCTGGCAGCTGGTTGTGTTTCAACTACACTTCACTTTGTTTTGGATTTTAATTTTGTCCTTCAGCAAACTTATTGGCTAGTGTGCTGTGTTGTAGATATAAGCTACTTAAATAATAAATAATGCTCGTAATCGCCTGCTTAAAATTCTATCACCGCGTTGTAACAAGTACAACAAGTAGTTTAGAATTTAGAGGAAAACTACTAAAATTTTATGGTTCTGTTAACTATAACAAGTATAACAGGTTTACCAAAAGAAAGATGGTAGAATTAAACAAGTGAAGGTTATGATTGGATAATAAGTGAAGGTATGTGAGAAAATTGAATGATGGAGAGTTATAATTAGTTAGAAGAGAATGCTGGTAAAGATATTGTTATATTTTAGGATAAATCCTAGAGGTTAAAAGTTGATATATTTTGAGGAGGGAGTATTACAAATCTTATGGATTTTCGACAAAATTTGATATTGAAACTTGTACGCAATTGCTTTTCTCTTGCAGTTGTGAAGATCACCATACAACTACTATCAACATGCACATTGCTAAAACAGGCGAGCATTTAGTTGACGATTTTTTGGGGCTAAAGTTCTGTGCGCAGCTGTTGGGTGGAAGCAATGGATTGTCAAAAGTTTGCATCTCTAAGGGCACAAATTGGAACCCATCTTGATTTTTTTAACAAATTGGCACGATATATTGTAAAACATCCGCTAGCACATTTCTGTAGCTTCTAGCATCGAGTAAAACTCCTATTTAATCTCTTCCGTTCCAACTTCTTATCAAAATCAACCAAATATCACATATCAACTATGTGCAAAACCAATATTTTTTAGTTTGTGGTATTGGTGCTCACCCACAGTTGCGAGTGCTATCAATTGTTCAGTAGCACTTTTATTAATCACCTGTTTTTTTCATCTATCAGTCTCTTTTAGACTACTAGAATTTCTTGTGATTCGTGCAAGATATATAAATCTAATGCACCGTCTTTCTCCTAATTTAACACTTACGGATTCGTGCACATATAAAGGGAGCATCACGCGAGTCATGACAAAAAGGGAGCATCCCGGTGCCCGTTGCTCTCCACCCCTGCTACACCCTCAGTGTATCACCATCCTCTACCGCATTGGCATCAACCTCTCCTCTTCTCCAAGTCGCTGCTATCGCCTATCTTCATCAACTCCATAACTTTCCCTCGTCCCACCTCTCCTCTATCATGCATGTCGGACGGCTCACATCGCTTAATTGGCCGGTGCTATCCCTGCTTCATAATCACATAACCTACCTTACCCTCGCCCCACCACTGACCCTACCTACCATTGTCCTTTGTACCTTCTAGGGGCGAGTCTAATATAGATTTAAGGGAATTCGCTATTCATATGTATACCTAATTTTTTTTTGAGAAAAAAGGTATATACAATATGTAATACATATGTGTATGAAAAATAATTAAGCCGTATTCAACCTAATAAACAAATTTAACCCATTTTCCCATGCCTTGTTCTCTCCTCTCTTCTCCCTTCTCTCTTCTAATAGCCCAATTCGCATAAGTCCAATGGCCTAATTCGGCAATTCCCACTTAACAAATATTAGGCTTTTGGCTATAACTTTTTTTTTATTCCTTCACATTTGGAATACATAACCTCAAAATCACGAGCCTCCTGATACCTTCACCCTTATGGCTCCGATGCTGCCATTGCTGCCTCACCATCCACCTATCTCTACCAATCCTTTGTCACCCCAGTGCCCTTCCCTCTAAACTAACACCTCAGTGCTCTCCTCTCCACCCACCTACAACAAGCCCAAAACCTAATCTAGCGAAGCTTGCAAGGGTCCATATATATCTCTAACTATGAGGTTGAAGATGACTCTTGGCCATTAGGTCTCATTAATCTCAGTCCTTTAGAAAAATAATTTCCTCCACATACATTATGGATGCTCTAAAAGTTGTCCTTTCATCTATCAAAACATCTTTGTGGTGTCAAGTAACCGTTTCTCTGTATAGAAACAATACATAAAATTCAAGCACACTTGATACACCTTTTTTTAGAGAAAACGGAAATTCATTAATCAAAAGATAAATCCTCTCTTGCAAGATGTGGGATGAGTTTACAAGAGTTACCACACCAAAACTCTGAGCTTTCTTCATAACGAGCATAATTTGCAAGCTCATCGCTTAACCTATATTGAGAACGATGAACCTTTTCCAGTACAAATTCCTGATTTCCAGACATATGGAACTTAGCCTCCTTGACCAAGAAAGCAAGGCCCGATCAGTCTAACTCCTTGGAAAGCAGCATGTTGATCATCCCACTGCAATATGTTTCCACAACTATAGGAAGAATCGTCCTTTGCAGGTACGAGAAATTCCTTCAAGACAAGCTATAAGTTCCGTCTCCAAACCATCACTACAAAAATTGATGAATTGACATGCTGAAAAAATTGGGGAGCCATGGCAATCTCGAAGGACCATGCCGATTCCCACCCCATCTTGTTTTGCAAAGGAGCCATCGATATTCAGCTTCATCCAAGATCCAACCATGTTTCAGCTTTAGCCAACCGAGAACCATGGTGCTAGAAGGGGTCATCGTCGGCTTCTTCTTTTTACTGCCTACTATTTGATAGTAACGCACAACATGCTTCCCTTTTCCTGATTGTGCATTTGGGCAGTGCTTGATAAGGAGTAGACTATCAACATAATTTGCTAGAAACCTTCTTGATGCCATAATATCATTATGGACATATCAAATGCGCCAAAGCAACATTAGGATCATAAATTGCTCAATCTCAGAGAAGATGCATCAAATAGAGTAATAACCAATCCAGACATGTATTATGTGGTCTTATTCTTGGCATGGCCAGCCATTCCTCTTGCACAGCCCTCCACAACGAATGTGCATGGTTAAATTGACAAAGAGCATGGAAAGTGTCTTCAACAACTGTACCACATAAGGAACAAATCCCTTGCTGCACTAGACATCTCTTCCTCTTATTCTAGTTGGTTGTCAAGTTATCAGTGGCTGTTCTGCAAGCAAATATCCAGACTTTTTGTGGCACAGGATATTTCCAAATTACGTCCCATATTGTTCGCTGGCCATCGTCTGCTGAGGTTGAAGGAGATCCACCCTCAGAAACATCTCTCAGTCTTACTGCTACCTGTAAGCACTGCAAACAATAAAGGATCTATTTTCTTCGAGTGCCATGCTAGGCAGTCCTCATCCCCTCTTTAAGAAATTCTGATTTTGAAAATTCTTGATGCATCAACTAGCAGGAAAATTCTATTTATCTTATTGGAATCCTAAGTTCCATTCTCCCCCAATCAGTTATGAAACTCACTTTAGACGACAACGACCTTTTACTCTAATTAGGCTCCTCGAATAATCTCTCGGAATCTAGGGATCCCTCCAAATTCTAATTGACTTGCTATTACCAACTCACCAAATTAAACCCTTTTTCAGAAGCTCAAGCCCCGTGTTCGATTCCTCTCCATCCCGGTGGCGCATTACCACTTAACGTTGTATCACTCAAACACACATTCAGGTAGTATTTAGCTTTTAACACTTGTGCACACAAACTGTCGGGATGGGCTAGCAATCTCCACGCCTGTTGAGCTAGCAACGGTTGATTAAACAACCACATATCTTTGGACCCCATGCTGCCACCATACTTTGATTGTATCATCAATTCCTATGACACCCAGTGAGTCTTCCTTTTAACCCAGTCAGAACCCTAACAATACCTTGTGCATAAAGTTCCAGCACTCTCTTTACTGCATCCGCTTGATCTTGTTATCCCTTAAAAAAAAGAGTAACGTGTCATCCGCAAATAAAAGATGGAATATATCATGTGCTCATCAGCAAACCCGCACAGAAGACACTCAGGAAGTTGCCACAAACCGCATGTCGATGGCTCAAAGCAAAGGTACTCAAGAGGGATCCATTAAATTTCACAGAATATTTCACCGCGGTTATACAAAACGTACATAATCCCACTTGGTACACTTTATATATGTGAGTCAGGAACAACACAACACATATTCAACAAAATGTCGATCAAATAGTATTACAGTAGGGAGAGAGAGAAAGAAAAAGGGAAAAAAAATTGAGAGGAAAGGATCAGTTTGAATTAGGGCGTGCACACACCCCGTTTCTTCTTCGAACGTCGCCATGCATGATCGAGCAAAATCTATATACCCATCCATCTAAATCCGAGCTCGCTCGAAGCAAATCCGGAGCGTGACGTGACAAGCTTTAGTTTAGTTTCATCGATTTCGTCTCCCGAAAGAAGTTCGTGTTCGTGTCTTTTTTTTTTTATCAGTCGTGATCTTGAGCTTCTTCGGTCGCCGGCGGCTCTGGCGCCGCCGCGTCCTCCCCGCCGGCTCCGGCGCCGTCGGCCTTGGAGGCCGCAGCGGCGCCGGTGCCCTCCGAGCCGCCCTTGTTTTTCCGGCGGTTGGACTTCTTGGGCACGGCGGGGAGGTCCTGGCAGGTGGCGCCGGAGGCGTCGTCGCCGGCGCCGGCGGCCGCCGACTTGTCGGACTTGTCCTTCTTGCGGTTCTTGCCGCGGGAGCTCTTCTTGGCCTTGTCCTTCTTCTCCGGGGCGGCGCCGCCGTCGGCGGCCGTGCAGTCCATGGAGGAGGTGGCGGCGGAGCCCCTGGAGCGGTGCCGCCTCGACCGGCGGGAGTCGGGCGACGGCGGGGAGTCGCCGGCGGTGATGTCCATGCTGCCGCTGGCCTCGCTTCTGGTTTCACTGAAGGATGTGTCTCCTAGGCTTCCTCCGTCTACCACGATTTCTGTCACAAATGAAATGAAACATTCTTCTTCAGTCATGCATTTTGATTGTAACAACAGAAACTAAATCAAACGGATATCAATTTGAATCTGAATTCAACACAGCACTCTATATATCCAAATCTGAATCTGAATTTGTGTGGTATTTCACTATAAGAATCAAGAAGGATTGCAACAGAATGTTCATGGGAATGTTCAGTCATTGCAGCCAATAATAACATGATTAGTAGATAGAAAACCAAAGTTTGCACTGCGTTCACTATAAGAAGAAGTAGGGCGAAAAATTCATGGCAATTGATGAAATGTGAAAATTAACCTTGAGAAGCCCATGGATTAGCTGCAGCAGAGCCCCCTCTGTCGCTCCTAAATGAGGCTGAGTCCAGTGGCGCCGAATGGTAATCCTTCATCTGTCAATGACTCAATGCAGTGAAATGAATATTTTCATTTTTCAGATAATGGAAGATGAAAGTTACATCTCCTGTCTCTGCACATAATTGCACCAAGAGTTTTGAAAGCTACAAAAGTAGTGTAATATCTATATGCTATATACTACCCATCCCCACATCAAAATTGGGATGAGATTATTGAAAACGTAGACATTAACATTTGATGATCGATTCAAACATTTTTGTTATGTTAGCTTCCAAAAAGAAGCCGGCTTACCCAGCTAGGTGCTCCTGCAGTATTATTATTGTTGTTGGGGACACTAGGCCCATCCCATCCGATGTGCGCCACGTGTTTCACATCCGTGGGGAATCCAATCTGCATGTCTTGTGCCGCCTCCTTACCATCTGGCATATGGCATAATATCACAAAGTTAATTGGTAAGACAAATTAATAGTAGCTTCATATTACTTATGATGACAAAATAGCATTTTCTCTTATAGAGATCAGCATATGAACCGAGCCTACGTACCCATCATGTTAGAGATGTAGCGGAATGGTCTTAGGATTCCCTTCTTCATCTTTGTGCTCATGCCCTTTCACCTGAAATTCCTTTTTTGTGTGTGCACGCGCCTTCTCTTCTCGAATTCGCAAAACCGCTACCGGAGAAATACATATAACAGATTGTGCAATGAAAAACATATGATAGAACAAAGGAAAGGAAACCATGCAGCCAATAACTCTCAAACCTCAACAAGACGTATATATAAAACATGTTGTAAGCAGATGATTTTGCAAAGGAAGAAGATCCAAATTAATTCAGATGATCATCACACAAGAATAAATGCTTACTCTGCCAAGGGTGAACGTCAAAATTTGCTGTTAACAAGATTGAACCTCTCTATATGGTCAATTCTTGTTAACAATTAATTGGCTCTCACCCTTCCTCAACGGGCCAATGGCATTGTGTTTATTCCTCCCTCAATGTCTTCTTTCTCAGAGGTCAGTATTGTCCGTCCCTCCGCGTTGCCAAGCCAAGCTCAGCGGAGGGCGCCTTGTGGTGGATGGAATTATTGAGGGTAAAGAAGAAGACTTCTATCTTGTGCCTAACAATTTTTTGAAGGGTCAAGAACCCTTTGAGCTGTCTCCTATTATTCTACCATGCATGGGTGCAGGAATGGGTGACCAGTCCTTTCTCTGGCTATATAAAGATGATACACAGTTTATGGCAAATTTTGTTGGAGGCTGCAGAGGACGTTGCCTAAATATAGTTACTTAAGTGAAAACATGTTACTGCTTGAAATAACCTTTGGCTACTTACACCAGGAGTTCCCTAAGCATTTATCTTTTTTTTTCTCTTACATTTTTGTCTGCTTGTTTTCCGGTGAATTTTTTTTAGAATAACAATTAAAATTTGTATATGGACCGTTTTCCATCAGCAAACTTGTAGTAAAGAAGTATATGATTGCTTGGAATAATTCTTTGCAAAGCCTGCAGATTGGACCGTTATAATTAAGCAGTAGTTCCTCAAGGGAGTAACCGGCCATTTCTTTAGTTTATTACTACCTCCGTTTCAGATTACAAGACTTTCTAGCATTGCCCACATTTATAAGGCATACATATATGGCTAGATTCATTAACATATATATAAATGTGGGTAATGCTAGAACGTCTTATAATATGAAACGGAGGAAGTAGTATACTAGAATATGACTCTTGCCTTTCAGCATGTTAGTATATGGTAGAAAGCTTTGATTGTTCCAATACAAAAGGAGAAGTATTCCCTCCAAAGTGTTTTAGTTTTGTCCTAACTAAAATTTCTCTAACTATGACCAAGTCTATAGAAAAATAAACCAACATCAAATTAAGTACATTAAAATTCACTATGAAATATTTGACTTAGGTACATTGTAGTTGTTAATTATTTTTGTACAAACTTGATCAATGTTCAAGAAGTTTAACTTAGGAAAAAACTAAAACACATTATTATATAGAATGGGGCGAATATTTTATTTGTTTGAGCACTGAAAACTCTATAAGTAGTGTGATGATATTTTGCTTTCAAAATAAGATGGGCCTATATGCATTTGGTATATGTATAAAAAAATCTAGAAGTTTGTGGTGCAGTTAAAGTCCAAATTCAGAAACATCACTATTTGAAGTTTGTGGTAAAACTCAAGCATCTATTATGTCACAGAAAATTTAAGTTCTTACTATAACAATTTGAGCCAAATGAGATGATGTAACACTATCTTGAAATTTACTTTTTAGTTAGCTTTATACAATTCACAAAATAATACTCCCTCCGTATTTTAGTATATGACATTGTTAACTTTTAGACGTACACTTGATCATTTGTCTTATTCCAAACTTTTGTGCAAATGTGAAAAAATAAGTCATGCTTAAATTACCTTTAATGATAAAACAAGTCATAACAAAATTAATGATAATTATGTAATTCTTTTAATAAGACGAATAAAAAAATCAATGGTGTTATATATTAAAAAAACAGAGGGAATAAAAGATTATTTCATTTAACATGTACTGTGCACAAGAGTATTATGGCATATCATATAAAAATGAACCCAGTAAATTTCTCATCATAAGTGACTTCACATCCTTCCATTCTAATCATTTCTGACATATGATTACAAAAAAGACAAATATGCACGTTCAAAACCATATCAACATATGAAAGAAATAGGAGACTGGCCGGGTTGACTCACTAGTACAGGTCCTCTCATCTGTGACGGCTCATCACATGCATGGGCAACGTGGGCCGTCAGAACGAAGTCATCTTAATCGGGCCTAAATTTTTGCCGTTGTAGATGTACTCGTCGGGGTGCATATTTTTATAGCCCGTCACCGATGACACTCATCTGTGACGGGCTCGAAGTTAGGCCCGATTGAGATGACCTCCATTATCTCAATCGGGCCCAAATACTGAGCCCGTCACAAATGAGTGTCATCGGCGATGGGCTCCAAAGAAGGCCCGATTGAGATGGCCTGAATGCCCGTCACCGATGACTCTTATCGGTGTCGGGCTTCTATTTCTGCCCGTTAGATATTAGTGTGCGCCCGTTAGAGATGACTTTTTTTTTGGCCCGATTGAGATATACTTTGCACACTATATATACTCCAACAGTCCGTTGTCTATAGTTATTCCACTGTTCACTATTTTGGTGAGAGGTTGTTAACAGTGAAATTTGGTAATCGGCAAAGACGTCATCGGCTTAGAATCATTATCGGCTGCAGCATCTCGGAATCAGCCGATGGGAGTTATCAAGTCGCCAATAGTCGGATTCCTGCTATATTCGGTTAAGGAAATCAATCTACTAAAGGAAGCTTATCCCTAAGTAACCGAGTTTAAAGAGGATGCGGCGTGGCAGTTTATCTATTAATTAGGAATAGTTTGTTAGTTTCCTTTATCTTTAGGAAAGTGTGTTTAGTGTCCGATAAGGACTTTATATTTTCCTTTTATCTTTAGGTTAGTTTCTTTCTTGTCCGACAAGGACTTGTATCAACCCATGGGTATAAATATGTACACCCGGGGTCTATCAATCTATCGATCAATAATACTCTTGGCGCATCGCCACCCTCTTCCCTAAGGTTTTTACTTATCTTCCGGCGGAACTTGGGCACCTGACGCAGGGCTGCATCGGCTTTCGATCTCTAGCGAAGGGGTAAGTCCTACGTTCTGTCGGGCCCTGGTGAATCTGTCGGCTACGTTGGTGTTGTTCAAGCCTGCATCAATTCGATCTCTTGGATCGCTCTGGTTTGGTTGATATATTTGTTTACCTGATATCTCAATTCTATCTCTAATTGCATTATGTTTAGAGACACATCGGTTTAGTTGGGACTGTCTCGGTTAGGTCTGATCTCCTGTCTTAGCCGATATATCTCTACAATCATAATGCTGTTCTAAATAGATTTGTTATATCCATCACATTAGACAGATCTATCGTCTCATCGAGTATTAGATTATCATATACAATCTCGTGCTGCATCGGTTAGGTTCGATCTACTAGATTATTGTTGATAATATAAGTCTTGTTAAGCCGATAGGTTCATGCTAATATTTTATCGGGGTGCTAGCCGATAAGTTATCTGGACGTTGCATCGGCTTGTAGGGATTGCATATACATATAAGTTGGATTTAACCGATGGCAACAAAGGTTTCACTGTTTAATCTAATCTTGTGGATCTTATGACATCGGACCTCCAGCCGATGTATGCTTTATCCTTCGGATCAATATTTGTTCTACTATTTCATATTGTTAGCCGATTGGTTTCTACTGGATTATATTGCTATATTATATTATCATCAGCCGATTGCCTTTATATCATTATCTATATTGGACAAATAGCCGATTGCTTAAACCCTATTGCTATCGGCTGGTATCGGCATCGGCTATTATCGGCTATCGGCTGGAACTACTCCATCGGCTTGTCAGCCGATTGGCTGTTTTGATGTACTATTTGCATATCTTGTCAGTTGCAGGATCAAACTGACTGGCACGCCCGCATCTGGCACGCCCGCATCTCATCATATTTGGACCTGCACAGGAGCTAAGCAGATCTCCCAGGCCGGTGTGTTCGATTTTTTCATCAACAGAGGTTGAAGGGGGCGAATTTTTGAAATTTTTTTGCAAACAAAAACAGGAAAATCATAAAAGTAAGTAAAAGGGTACTAATCATTTCCTATTAATTTAGTAGTACTTATGTTATGAGATGTTAACTAATATATTGTTCATTGTTCAGCGATGGATCGAAGTTGGATGTACTCGACTGGCTTGAGGCGTCAGTACAAGGAGTATAGAGATGGCGTATTAAGTTTTATGAAAGCCGCAGTGGAGGATAGGATGAGAAGAAACGACAAGTACATGTGTTGTCCATGTAGCGATTGCAGGAATGAGATTTGGTTGGACGATGAAAAGGAAGTACACGCTCATTTGATATGCCGGGGTTTCATGAAGAGATACACATGCTGGGTGAAGCATGGAGAGCAAGATCTGGGTACTGATGGTGCAGCTGCAGACGGAAGTGGTGCAGACAATCATGAAGAAGGAGATGAAGAAGAGCATGACATGTTTGTCCCATCTCCATTGGGCGGTGAAATGGTTGATGTGGACCCTGATATGCTGCAAGACATATTACGTGACGTTGATGACCCAGCTATGAACGAGAGAGATTCAATGAAGTTCAGCAGGTTGGTCAGTGACTCGGAGACTCCTCTATACGCAGGATGCAAGCCAAAGCACACCAAATTATCTGCAACATTAGACCTAATGAAGTTGAAGGCTAGTAGTGGATGGTCAAACAAGAGTTTTACAGAACTTTTGGGAATACTGAAGGACATGCTTCCTCAGGAGAACACATTGCCCGAGACGACATATGAAGCAAAACAAGTTCTGTGTCCCCTAGGGTTAGAGGTCCGGAGAATTCACGCGTGTCCAAACGATTGCATATTGTACCACAAGCAATACGCGGACTTAGATGCTTGTCCTGTCTGCAAGGCTTCTCGATACAAGCGAAAGAAGAGCGCGGGGGAGGGAAAGAAGTCAAAGCGGGGTAGTCCGGCGAAGGTTGTGTGGTATCTACCAATCATTGATCGTTTCAAGAGAATATTTGCCAACCCCAATGAAGCAAAGTTAGTACGTTGGCATGCCACAAAGAGAAGGAATGACGGTTTGCTAAGACACCCTGCGGATTCGATTCAATGGAGGAATATCGATCGAAAGCTCAAAGGCTTTGCTGCCGACCCCAGAAACATGAGGATATGTTTGTGTACGGATGGCATGAATCCTTTCGGAGACATGAGCAGTTCTCACAGCACTTGGCCAGTTCTTATTGCGAACTATAACCTCCCGCCATGGTTGTGCTTCAAAAGGAAATATATTATATTGTGCTTGTTAATCCAAGGTCTGAGACAACCCGGCAATGACATCGATGTGTTCTTGGAGCTTGTTATCTATGACCTTGAGATTCTGTGGAAAGAGGGTGTGGAAACTTGGGATTCATATGGTCAGAAGAACTTCACACTACGAGTTCTATTGTTCTGCACCATTAATGATTATCCCGCGCTAGGTAATCTTTCTGGACAAACCATGAAAAGAAAGAAGGCATGCTCTGACTGTATGGAACATACACGCAGTAGGTGGCTGAAGAAATCAAGAAAGATGGTTTACATGGGTCACAGGAGATGGCTCCCCCTACGGCACGCCTTTAGAATAAAGAAGAAAATTTTCAATGGTAAGAAAGAACTTGGGTCTGCCCCTGCGGATTTGTTCGAAAATCAACTTCGAAATCATTAGAGAGGAGATAGCACAATTCATACTAGATGATATCTTGTCATCGAAAGGGATGTTTAGAGTGAAGTCCTAGTTAGCTCGTCTCGGAATGGCAGAACATTTGCAATGCATATGCGACAAACATTTGATTTTTGTAAATATTCTTTGTAATACAATTATATTCTTTAGAATAAAGTCCTAGGTAGCTCGTCTCTGTATATACTTGCATTTCTAGTTACATATAAAATTGTTCCAATTTATAACTTAGTTTTGCAGGTTTTGATGCATGTCGGCGGTTTTGGAGAGAAAAAAGGATGTGAATGACATATACTTCCTCCTTTTCACAATGTAAAACTTTCTAGCATTGTCATATTCATTTAGATGTTGTCTAGATTCATTAACATCTATATGTATATAGCCAATGCTAGAAAGCCTTAGATTGTGAAACGGAGGGAGTATATGTGATGTGAATGCATGTGTTGTGATGGAAACACATGTGAATGAGATGTGAATTGGCTGTGAATGCATGTTTTGTGATGGAATGTAAATGCTGTGATGCTAGGAATATAAATGTTATGAATTGGCTATGAATACTGTGATGCTGGGAATGGGGTTGCTGGGAATGGGACTATATATATGTGCTTATGTCAATTTTTGCAGCGGGCATGGCTAGCAAAAGCCTGAGGCTAGCCAAATTATAAAATTTTATTTTTTTTTGTTCCAAACTCATCCCTGACGGGCATATTAATAATGCCCGAAAGAGATAAATCATCCGTAACGGGCTTTTAGAATAATCCTAATAGAGCTAACTCATCCGTGACGGGCTTTTAGAGTAAGCCCGATAGAAATAAGTCATCTGAACCGGGACTCGTTTGACTCAACACGTGGGGTCAAACCAATTGGTGACGGGCTCTATCTAAATGCCCGATTGAGATGACTAGTCATCCGTGACGGGCTTAGTGGTGTGCCCGATTGAGATTAGTCATCTGTGACGGGCTCCTAACTACGCTGGTTTGACTGGTCATACTCATCTGTGATGGGCTTTGTTTTCGGCCCGATTGAGATAACATCCATCCGTGGCAGACTTTTGCCCGATTGAGATTTTTCCTCACATCAGTGACCTTTGCCCAGTGACGGGGGCCTTACCCGATAGTGATGATGCTTTCAGCCCGTCACAGATAAGCGATCCCGTTCTAGTGACTGTGCATCAATATTAATAGACTGTTTTTTCTTCCAAGTACGCTAGTGCATTCTTCAGTTTTTTTTAATGAAACGGACGGCAAAAGATTCGCCGGATATATTAGAAGGAATAAAAGTGAGATACAGAACCCGGGAAGGCAAATAGAAAGACCAACTACAGTGGCGACCCTAGATGCTGGCCCTACGATTGGATATGCAGTCTTTGCACATGTGCCTTTGAAGATGCAAACCACCTACCTGGCTAAGGAGTGCCCTTTCACAAACATGGTTTGGAGCCCATGTTATCTGCTTGCTGGGTTTTAGTTCAACTCCTCTTCAACAATCAATCCCAAACATTGCAGACTGGTGGGAAACTCTAAGCGCCCTAACATCGATCGCTACAAGGAAGAAAATTTTAGGAGCCTTGATAACTACATGGTGGAACATCTGGTTCGAGCGAAACCGAAGAATTTTTCAACAAGTCTCATAAAATGAGCTGCAAGTCGCATTCCTTGTAAAGGAAAATAAAAGCCAGTTGGCTATATCAAGACTCTCCTAATGGGGAGGTCTTTGCTAAGTGCTTTCTTCAATAAAAGTCAGGTACAGCTTGTGGAAGTTCTGAAGTTTTAGTTTAAACATGGTAAGTTCTCTCTATAAAGGATTAAACTTTAGCGTTTCACTGATAAGGAAATAAAGCTTTTTTTTATAAAGGATTCAATTTATAGTTTTCTTGCCGTTTCACTATTCCAAGACGGTACAAAATAGTGTGTTAGCATCGAAATCTGTAACGTGATGCTGTGCCATCCAATGTAGGATGAACATAATTTAACCACAAAAATGTGGTATTTTTTTTCGTCAAAAAAAATATGGTAGTTTTTTCCGGTTGCAAAGATAAAGGTTTCATATATATTCCAACATGTATACAGAGTAATATTACTAGTGATTTGCATACCGGCTCAGTCAGACAATACTATGATTGGTGTAGTATTCAGTAACTGTACAACACAGGCAGGTTCTTGTACAGTTATTACATTGTTGTTACAAGACTAAAAACCATGCAAAGCTTCAGTTCATCTAGTCATTCATAGTAGTATGATGCAGCAGATATATGTACAAAAACTCATTTGCTTCCAGAATATGATGCGCTCCTCTGAAGGCTGAAGCAGAGCACACATATAATGCAAGAGAGATTCTTCATATTCTGTTTTGCCAGCCATACCTGTTCAATGTTATTATATATTTATTTACCGTATATCTTTAAAAGTTTAAACTATCAGTAGCCCGATTGAAGCTATATGTTAGCACAATACATTGTGCTTAATTTCAGATTTTAACTGGGAAAGTAACTGCACAAAATGAAACAAAATATATAAACTTCATCACAACAGTTCCCTTTGTCATTAATTGCTTCAAAATATCAAGGCCAGCAACTACTTGTACAAACACAGAAACAAATATAAGTAGTATATAGTACAATACACATAAATAGATAATGACTGCGATTCAATTATTTCTGTGCAAACTGATTAGTCTCATCAACAGAGTGTACTGCATCAAGATGCCTTGAGATCATCCATACCGACACTTGCCTGAAAGTAGACAAATCTATTATAAACTGCCACCTTTAGAATTCAAAAGTTGGTCACAAAAGACATTAGAAATCTGGGGCAGATGAGCTCACCAGAAACCTATGGTTTTCTGCCAGCAATGGGGAGAAAGTTGCACAAAACTTCTCGATGTCTGCGTTGATATCACCTGAGCCACTAATGATCTCCATGAATTTCTTCCTGTCTGGAGCAAGCTTTATGGCAACCTGAAACTCAGGGATTGTTAGATACTCCTATATAATAATATGCTTGCAAGACCATACTAGTTACAATCTGTGGCCATGGAAAGAAGACTAATCATGTTCAACTTGAAACTCTTGGGCATGAAAAACTAATCATTTCTACATGAATTGAGAAACAATTATGGTACTGATATATCAAAGGAAAGGTCCTTCAATATCTCTCTCAGTCAATCTAGTACTGCAGTGCTGGTAATTAAGAGGTTCAATCTAACAGCAACAGTTGCATATTGCAGACAGTAATAGAGCAATCTGTTAATGTTATATTGGAGACAGTGTGCTCCCTCTAGATGCTAGTAATTGTAGGTTAATTAGGGCCTAAACATTATATTTTTTGGTTGTTGCAGTTGCATCATTGATGATTACTGGACAGTGAAAGTGCAACACAAGATGTAACTTAATTTTGAAGGCAAAATATTTAGGTAAAGATTGCTACCGAAAAGCTTGAACTCGCCAGCCATCCGTGCCATTTCTTGAGAGTTTTACTGTACGCATCGCTGCAAGCTTGTGACATTTGCCAATCTGGGTGCTGTACCAAATTATGGAACAGTGCAACCAGGAAGTCCATGGCTCTGACAATTAATATATGCAAAATTAACAGCATTTTATATAATCTGATAAATGCCGAGCTGTGCAAATAGTGTGAGATAGTTAGTTACCTTGTCAACCACAAAAGGCCATTGGTACAACTGCTAGAACTTTTTGCTGTCTTAGAGCTGATCTCAACTTTCACCATGCTGTGCAGCTGCTCATACTTTGAAGGATCGGATGCATATTTTGTCTCCAATCTCTGCATATAGCAACAGCCACACAACAGAGCACTGTCACAATTATGCTAGACATAAACCACTAAAAGCATGTTGCTTTAGCTTTCCATTGACCAAAATTTATCAAAGAGCAATACATCATTACATTGAGAAGAGCTATAGCTGCATGAATCTTCTAAGAAGACATAAAAGGAGGGTTTTTCTCTTACCGTAATATTACCACCAATGTCATTCTTCACGATTGACATAGCCGATCCAAACTTATCTACATTAAAAAAAAGATAGGTTAAACAAAATTTCGTTGATAAAGATTATCTGTCTTGGAATGCAAAACAAACTCCTCCTTAATTACCTAGCACAGGAAGAATGTGCTTGCAAACTTCAAGAAACGGCTTCGTTAGGATCACACCGCTCTCTGACTTGACATTCTTAATGCCTTGCAGCGATGGCGTGAACACGGTCCCCTCCATCTCTGCTTGAGTTTAGGATCAGCTCTCACCTTGCAAAACCAACAGAAAACCTCATTACTTTTTTTTTCCCTTAGAGCCCAAGAGCATGCATTCTTTGTACCCCAAATCACCAAAATGCACAAGCTTTGGCCAACTGCAGGAAAGTACGGAGTTTTCTGCACAAAACCGAGTAAACAAGAACCTAAACCAACCTAAAATTTCTAACGTAATGAACCCCCATTGGTTTCATATTTGTGATAATGTCTAATCAAAAGCACAATGCAAGATAAACTCACCGGACAAAATCAATGCTGGTTCGGATTAGGAGGGGGAAAAACCTGGGTGCATAGGTTGCAGGAGGATACTACCTGAGAAATGGAAGAAACGGTGAGCTGGGATGCTGGAACGGGGAGAGTCGTGGAGTCCGATAAAAGAGGGGGTCGGTGGTTTATTTATAGCAGAGGAACAGCAATATAGATCCATGAGATGCAGAATGCAGTTGTGGCCTGCTTGTTTCAGCTTCTATTCCGTTAATTTACTCCTGAAATCGGTTGGCATATATAATGATGAAGCCATATGGATTATTAGAAAAAGAAATTGTGAGTCAAATTTTATATATGTTTTTAACGATTTAAAAATCAATGTTAGAAAATAAATTACAATGCAAAGAAAACCTTAAAATTATCTCTAAAATTAAGTTTAAATTTTGGTGTAGGGTAAACGATGGGAACAATCATAGCCAGTTTTGAATTTTAGCATTAATTAAAATGTTTTTTTAAGTTAGCGGTTTATTTATATAACATGCTTGATAAGTTACGTATAAAAGAGCGGCATCAGCCGGCCATTGTAGCATTTTAGAATAAAACTCGTATGTTTGTGTCATTTATGCATTCTAAAAAATATTTTTATTTTTTCTGAAAAATGCTTTCGTATTTATCATCTTGGAATAGTATATATATTAGTTCAAAACTTCAAATTTGTAGTGTTAGAATATGCCACATTTCGTATGGTTTGTTTATTTTGAGACCCATGGAGTACGTTAGGAAGCATCACCAACTAATTTAGGGTTTTTTTTAATTGAATTAACCAAATGCCACCGGTGAGGAATTGAAGAGGAAGACATTATTTTCTAATGGACTTGATTGTAATTTTCTTAGGGTGGTGCAAAATAAGTACAAGAACAAGGCCCTCTAGGACCTACTACCTTCTTCCATAAAGAAAATGTAATGACCAATGAAAACCTTCAAAAGCAACCTAATCATCACTTATTCATAGTTCCTTTCGTACTAATCACATCCATCCATTAGATCGACACATCATTTATTCCCTTTTCTTTCTTTGAAAAAAGGAGATCAATCTTATCATTAGCATTGTTCATCATTAACGCATATATTCTATGAGGTCTAGGTAATCATACACACTATCAACAAGCATATGCATGCCCCATATGGGGACATGGGAAGCACACAGCCTCGTTGCCTCCGAACGTGATAAGCACCATCTTTTCCATGGGAGAGCAGCCATTTTGCCGAAAACAAGCCAGCCGCCGCCGATCTGGACCGACATTCTTTCCAATACTCTGACATGAAAATATGATGAATAGTGAAAGGGTATGTAGTCTAATGGTTGCAGTAACCTAAGTAGCATCCCAAGATCCTAAGTTCAAATCTTCATAGGAGCGAATTTCAGATTGGGTTATTTAAAAAGGCTGCATATATGGCCGGTTGGATATAGAGGCTGGGTAAAAATACCCTTCTCTAAAAAAATAAAAATATGAAAAATATGATGAATAGTAAAAATTGTGAAAATATACTTAAAAATAGAACTTATAAATTAAAAATATATATACTTATTTACATGGTTATGAAATAATCTGATCGTTCTACTTGGCACCTAGGGAGTTACTAGCAAATCCTACCAGTCCTGCCTAGGCCTCTTGTTAGATCTGGCTCTAACTGTAAAACACACTCCAAAATATTATCTATGTTTGAATTCAGTCAGATAAAAGTATGGTAAGAATTTTTCATATCTGATGGATATGGATTATCCGATATTTGAGTAGACTGATCCGACAATGATCTATTTGGATAATCTTATAAATAATCTGGGCGTTGGGCGTTTGGCCAACTTAGTATCAAAACCTTATATCAAGTCATCCCCTTTAGTACGTCCTAAACTTTGCATTGTTCGGCTTGTATTGCTTTGTATTCCATTTCATATAACCAATCAACCAACACTCCACTATGTTTCAAAATTGTCTACAAAATGTAAATTTAAAATTGTTTCCTATACACTACGGCTAACATGTCAAATACATCTTATAACCAAGAAATTTTAAGTGTTTGTTCTCTTGGATAGGTGTTGATCCTTCCATGGAACCACTATATAGGAATTCTTGCTTATTCCATTCCCCTATTTGTAGTTGATGGTCATGGACTCCTGGTGCCTCTAACAATCAAGTTAAGGCTCTACCCAATCAGGATTTCAAAATGCGATTAAAGCCAGTTAAAATTCATTGTTTTTGACTGATTTGAGCAGGCTCAAATTGATAAATCAATTTTTAATTTAGTACTTTTTAAGACATTCAAATATAGATTGAAAACTACGAAGAAGTATGCATTTTTTTCTATAAACAGTATGATCACTTTATACTTTGTGGCATTAAAACTTTTCTGAAAAGTTAAATGTTAATTATGGCACTTCAAATAACAAAAAAATTTGAAGGGAAAAGCTAGTCTATTATGTTTTGTTGCAATCAAATAGTTTAGTATTACCTGCAATCATGAATAAGTGATGTTTCAACCGTGACACTTAAAAGTGGTATTCAGCTTTATAGCTAAAAATACACTCTTTAGGGACAGAGGAAATACACATGAAAAATTTAGCAAAGTTATAAATTGTATTTGAAGACAAATTAATATAGGCATACCTAAATAAGTTGAATCAAAATGTTTAAAGATATATTGATGGTCAAAGTTTGAACGTATTAGCTATGCATAGTGAAACATCACTAATTTATGACTAGAGCATTATATTGTTGATGTCATGAACATTATAACTTTATCCTGTAATATTATACTATTTATTGACCATGATGTAACATACGTCGTTGATAGCAGGGTGCAATGGATTTTAAACTTTCTAACATCGTTACAATGTTTTCAGTTGTGTTCATATTTTACATCATCGTCGATTGTGTTGAAAAACAAATAGCTTAATATTTTTCTACTTTTTAATTTATTTTTTCTAAAATATCTCATACATTTTTTTATTTTCCATGAATCCAATTAGATTCAGATCGAACAGATCAATATGTTTTCACTCAGATCGGTCAATATTATTTCTCACAATTTTCCTATGAAATCCGGTTGGTTTTCCACGCAACAAATTGTTTTGAACCGAAACCAGTTGTTTTTTTAAAAAAATTCTCAATTAGCTCGAAACAAGCAGTTGGATTATTTCACACTTCTGCTTGCAGAAATTTCTGCAGTTAAAAGAAAAAAAAATCACGGTGCTCGACAAGCACAACCACCCTTTCCTTCCTCCGATGCAAAATTCGCATGACAACAGCAGGGAATAATGCAGTAGATTACTTTGTTGTTTTATGGCCCCAAAAAATATATCTTGTGGAGATCGGAGAGCCAAGACTCCAAGCGAGAGATTTAAAAAAAAAAAAAAGAGAAGAGGGAGAGAGAGAGAAGAAAACATGGCTCCGCTGTCAGGCGCCGTGCACGCCACGAACGCTAAGCTCGTGATATCCCAGAGAAGCACCACTCCACCACCTCACCTCCGTTTTCATCGATCTCCTTGTCCGTTTCCTGAGTAACAGTAGTTTGTTCCCTGCAACTTCATGGATTACAGCGACGAATCAGAACAAAAATTAGTGGGGTTCAATACATATTAATTACCCCCTTCGTATTTTAACGTAGGACACTGTTTTTTATCAATGTTTGATCATTTATCTTATTAAAAATAATATTCTCATAATGTTTTTAATGTTTTTTTTACGACGACGAGGTGTCCAAAAGTATATATAAACTAAATAAATATTTAATTTTGTTGAATACATTTTTTAAATATTCCAATATATTTTAAGACTAATACATTTTGTTTTAGTTTTATTATCTTCAAACTAATATTTAAAGTTATTGGTAATTAAAGTTTTAATTATTTAATTATAATTTGTCTAAAATATAATAAGAAATTATGAAATGGAAGGGATTACTAGTGCTATTTTCTGCCCAATTATTGTGAGCGTACGTACGTTGTGCTTGGATGGATGAATCAAGCAAATGCAACGCTGTCCCCACGGCCCACGCGCACACATCTCATCTCGAATTCCAGGCTTGTCTTGTGAGAATCCTAGGCGGCACTCATCTACTAGTACTCCCAACTCGTACGGCCCTATAATATTGTATTGTAGAAAAGAATACAATTAAAAAATAACTTTAACAACTATTTTTTATAATATATAAAAATATCAACAAATATATATTTTATTGATGAAATACTTTTTAGAGTAAATTTTACAAAACTACATGTGCTCTAAACAAATTATCATAAAACTATAAATTTAAAGTGATGTATCACGAAAGTACATTTCACAATAAATTTATCCCAAAACTATAAATTTAAGGTGTAGTATTGCAAAACTCAAAATTTAGTAATAAAGTTTCACAAAACTACAGAATCATATTTAAGTTATAAACGGCTAAGTTTTGTAATTAAATTGATACTAAACATGTATATTTTGTGAAAATTCTGTTACTAAATTACTCCACCACCTTAAATTTGTAATTCTCTGAGAAATTTAGTATTAAATCCATAGTTTTGTGGCATATTACCTTAAATCTATAGTTTTATGATAATTTAATCAAAGTATATGTAGTTTTTTGAAATTTATACTTTTTAAGACTACTCTATACATATGATTGTCGTTTGTGATTGGTTGACACTAAATCTGTAGTTTTGTGATAATTCTGTTACTAAATCTATAATTTTGCAATACTCCACCTTAAATTTAATGGTTCTCTAACAAAATTTAGTGTTAAATCTTTTTTTTTTTGGAAAGTGTTAAATCTTTAGTTTTGTGGTAGATCGTTGTGATAATTTGATCAAAGTTTATGTAGTTTGTGAAATTTGCTCTACTTTTTAAAACTACTGTATAAATATTTAAAAAATTATTTATAGTTAAATATTTTAAAGTTTAATTTTAAAATGACGAATATTATCTGACAGGTCCACAGGAGGGACTGAGTACTACCGTGTTGGTTTCTCTCTTTTGCACTTGCCACCTTGGCTTACCGGACATTCTCACAAATAACCCATTTATATTTTACTCCTATGTAAAGTATTCTACGACCTCTACGGTATCTGCGTGTGTGTATATGTATATACATATATATATATATATGGGTAAATTAATTGGTGCTACATATAGTATGAGTTCCAAGATTTAAATTGAGTATATATCTAATTTGAATGAGTATGAATTTTTTTAAATGTTTAGGTATGAACATTAACTTCTTTACTAACAAGTTCAAATAAGTTTGAACTGAGTTTGAATTTTTTTTGTTAGATTTTGGTTCTAGGTATATAACATCCAAACATATAATTCGCTAGGTATGTAATAATGAATTGTGAAATAAAGTTGAGTTTGAGTTATTTTGTTTGTTAGGTATTGGTATGAATCAAATTCATATACCTAGGTTTATAGTCACAATTTAAAAATTTTTAAAAATTTGAGAGAATTTGTGTACACGATGGAGTCCCATATGGGTATTCTATATATATGTATGTATGTATGTATATATGTATATGTATGTATGTATGTATATATATGTGTGTGTATATATATATATATATATATATGTATATATATATATATGCGCATCAGATGGCACAGGTAGATCGATACACGATTGGTTGCATATGACTATATACTACACTATGATCTAATTAAGCAGCTGAGGTAGATGGATGGATCCATCAGATCAATTAAGTGCCAGCTAGGGTGGCTCTCTATGGATATGGAGCATATATCATGCGAGTCAACCTCATGCCATTGCCTACTGGGACTTGTAAATTCGCTGCTAGTCCACTTAACAACGTGCTGTACTGCTGTGGGTAGTACGTCCTAGTCGGTCGCACTCCTGCGGTTCTGTATTTCGGTCATATATCTACTAGTACAAAATTCATTATGACAGCATTCGAAAGTGCTTCTACGATTGTCTACTTTCTCATTAATTATCATGGGTATGCTTTTTCCAAACTTCTAAATGATATTTTATTAAGGAAAAAGTACGAATTACCCCCCTCCGAAATATCGCGGTCGTCTAAATTACCCCCCTGAACCACAAAACCGGACATTCTTCACACCGAACTATGTAAACCGGACGAATTATCCTCCTCGACCCAATCCGCGGTGGTTTTGATCTACGTGGCGTACGCATGGCAGTCCAGTCAGCATTTTATTTATTAAAAAATATGGGACCCACCTGTCATACTCCTATCCAACTATTCCTCTCTCTCTCTTCTCTCATTCTCTCTCACTCACGCGCCTGAGGCAGGCGAGCGACAGGGAGCAGTGGAGGCGAGCGGCGGGGTGCGGCGAAGGAGGCGAGCAGCGGCAGGGTACGGCGGAGGAGAGGAGCGGCGGCGGGGTGCGGCAGAGGAGATGAGCGGCGGCGTCGCGGGCCACGTGGAGCCGCCTTGCCTCGACGAGCACCGCCACGACCATGGCGAGGCAGGCCGTCGCCGTGTCCGGCCGGTCGACCAGGCCAGCGTCGCGGGCCACGCGGAGCCGCCTTGCCTCGACGAGCGCCGCCACGACCATGGCGAGACAGGGCGTCACCATGCGAGCGCCGATGCGCTGGAGCATCGTGATGCTGCCACCACCTCGCCTCCTCCATCCCCGCCGCTCGCCTCGCCTCGCCACACTCCTGCCTCCACCACCGCCGTCTAAAGGAGAAGAGAGAGAGTGAGAGATAGAAGAGAGAGAAACTGATAGGTGGGGCCCACCTATTTTTTAATAAATAAATTGTTGACCGGACTGCCACGTAGACCAAAACCACGGCGGATTGTATTGAGGGGGTAATTCGTCCGGTTTACATAGTTCGAGGTGAAGAATGTCCGGTTTTATTGTTCAGGGGGTAATTCAGACGACCGCGATAGTTCAGGGGGTAATTCGTACTTTTTCCTTTTATTAAAGAAAACTCATACATGAAAGTTTCTTTTAAAAACTAAATAAATCATTTTTTTTCAAAAAAATATAATACTTAACTAATAATACACTAATCATTTATCGTGTTTTGTGTGTCATAGAGTAACTCAGCCAAACAACTAATGTCATGAGATGGTTTCTCCACAGAAATGACATACGTCAAGATGTCATGGTTTTCTTTTCAGAGAATTTTAGAACAGTTTTGCTTCGAAGGCCTGATAAAGTATTGGTACTGGGCGCTACGGCTATGCTCTTTCGTCCCATATGAACAATAGTATTAGGATGTTTTAGGATGTTGTACGTTCCGATTTATAGTGTTAGAATATATCGCATCTAATAAAGTTGGTTTTTTGGACGGAAAGAGTAAAGCCTAAGATAAAAGTAGATAAAAGTATATAGTTTGTTACGGGACACATTTAATTTAGGGAGCATATTTATACAGCTTGCAGCCGTGTATATACATATACTGATATACAGCGGCAGCGGCAGCAGCAGCATCAGCATATATAGGATTTGCAAGAACGGCACGAAACCACGTGGGACAGCTCGAGCAAATTAACAAACTGTGTGCCATGTTGGAAAGGAGCGAGCTTGTTGATACGTGGGAAGCTCACCCGATCCGATTTGTCGGTACGAAAAAACAATGGAGGCACGCACTCATGACTCATGCATCTTTAATTAGAAGAATCAAATTAAGGCACTCCTAGTCCATAATGTGATTGAATACACACGTACATTACCATTACCTAATTTTTGTTCTTTTAACGATCAAAACAAACAACACGAAGATTCACTAATAGTGTAGGGAAAAAAGTACAAGACTAAATTTTTAATTAAATCTAACTTAAAAATTTTATTCTTCTTGTGTTAAATGCCTCGACACATACGTGCAGTCACTAATTCTTCTAGCTAGGGGTGAAAATGGTTGGAATTAGTAGTATCTTCTAAAAACGATCGATGCTCGGTGATCAATAAGTAATTGAATATATTTATTAATTTAATTGGTTGGTGTTGTTATTAAATACTATGTTCGAAAATTAGAAAAATCAAATTTTATATTCTGCTAAAAATAGAATAGGTACAATTTATACGAAAACAACGATCGGTCAGTCCGGAATTTTCTTAACCATTTTTATCGTTAGCCGTTTTGAAAGGTGATTACATCAATATAATTCTTGTGAAAATAAATTGTTCATACAAGACTCATTCAGCATCTCTTTGATCTTTGAGGATCATCCTTGACACTCCAAAATTAGAGGGGTCATGCTAATTAATAGGTTTAGTTTACATCAATTCTTTGCAAAAAGTATTGGATAAAAGATCAACTTAAACATCTATTGATTAATACATCAAGTATTTTCAAGGAGTTGGGGGACCATGCATGATCCGTCCTGACCTCCATGTAGCTTCGCCACCACGTTAACATCTCGCATGAATCATGTTTTTCTTCTTATTCGGTCGCACCAAGAAGGTAGACATTCCCTGTAGGACGAAAGAGAAGTGCCATCTTCATTAGGCTTTGCACGAATGCCATTTTCCTTTTTGATTTACTGTTCTGCTTTTGTCATCTAATTGGCGTTTGCATATGCCGTTGCAATTAGAACACTTTCTCCATATATAGATTCCGTAATTACCTTGTCTGTTTGCATACGCGTATAGTTTGCTTTCAGTTTTACTTTATCTGTAATAATTCACTAATTCTCCTGGTTTTGCTCAAAGAATTTAATACTAGTGAAATTCAATCGGTAAAAGATCAATCGCTGATTTAAGATATTATACTTACTTTTTTTTTGTTTGATGAATACAAGGACTACGTACAGTTTTATAAGTTAGGACAAACAACGGTTATACCTAATCTCATCAACCATAAGTATTAAAAAAGTTTTCTCATTTTTAAGTCAAGCCATAATTTTGTAATTTGCAGCTATTCGTTCTGTAAATTCTATAATAACTAGCTATAAATTCTTTAAAATAAAGATTTGAATAAATTCAATTGTCTAAAACAAAGATTACCGACATGTTTTCACGGTTCCTCATTGTTTTTAATGTTCATGCAATTTTCTGAATTTTTTTGGTCGATCATTGGGAGGCATCAAGAGGTATATGCACCTTATAATAAGTATTCAGGAGATATACATTTTTCAGTAAAATGTATTATTCTTATTAAAAAAAAGTAGTCATGATACTTCACTTTTCATTACCTACAAAATTGTAGTTCATTAAAAATATTTAGAATACCTCGATTTATTGCTAGATTGCCATGATCCTGCTGTTTGATCATCCGGCAAAAAAAAAGCATCAATATGAGCATCAAAGCGGAATCTGTTAATCGATTAGCAACCACCTCAAAGATATTTGCAGCCGAGAATGGAGATATCGCAACAATACTTAAATCAAAGAACACAAGCACCTACCAATGACAGCGCCATGCGTGGACAAGAGGAAGAAATAGTTTTGGAAAAGCTTTGTGCTTTCCTCTAATAAAGAAAAAATTAAAGGAAAAGGCTTCGTGTTTGTAGCTACTAGCTCAGCGTTTGTTTTTATTCTTCTTTCCCCATTTTTTCTCTTGATCAAATGATCTATGATCATAATCCCCTTTTTCCCCTTGGCTGTCACGCTCTAATGGTGGTTGAAATGGCGCCTTCCTGGCATGCATCAAGCGCAGAATTTCTTCAACGCAATGATCAAGCAAAGAGGGGGGGATTTGCCCTTTAATTATCCCATTAATTATTACTAATAAAGTTGGAGGACTAGAATCGAAAAATGATCATATTTTTATTGCCGTTCTTTTGCTCACCAATAAATGCTGTGCTACTTGCACCACCTTCTTCTTCTTCTCTCTCCCTCACACGCTTCACACTCCTCTCGCTGTTCTTCTCTCCTCCTCCTGTGGCTGGCTGCTTGCTCTACTGCAATTATTTATTGCCACCTCCAATTCTTAGTACTGCGAGATTAATTACTCATTCCTCCCCGCAGTGCCATGTTCTTGAGTTTCTTTCGGTTTTTTTAATCCATTTTGCAACACTCTCTGTCCTGCAGCCAGAGCTGCATTTGCTGGGGATTTATACTAGTAGGCGGCTTCAGCTTTACTCTCTCCCCTTTCTGCTTCTGCTGCTTCTCCCTTTCCCTCTCAACTTCTCAAGTGGCAGTGGTGGGAGGGTAGCATCTGGCCCAAGCAAAGCGCCGGGTTCTTGGCTCTGCTCGCTTTTTTTCGTGGTAAATCTGTGTGCAAGATCTGGGGTACAAAAGGAGGGGACAGCAGCACAAGGGAGGAGGAGGAGTTCTTGCGTTGGGATTCTCTCTTCGGCAATGAGGCCCGACGCGAGGCTGGATGCGGCCGTGTTCCAGCTCACCCCGACCCGGACCAGGTGAGCGAGCGAGCGAGCTAGATCTGCCTGATTCGGTGAATTTTTGATCTGTTCTTTTCATCTTTTGGGGGGTTTTGGTTTCTGATGCGGTTGGCAAGAACATAGTTTTGTGATGAGAAAGTTGGTTGCTAGTGGTGAACTGGCTTTGCATTTTGGTTGGACTTAACCAGAGTTTGAGGAGTAGTTTTTTTGGTTGGTTGATTGCAATTTGTGTGTAGCAAATGTTTGTTCTTCGTCTGTTGGAGATGGGGGTTCTTTGTGAGCTTAATTTTAGTACTAGATCTGGTAAATCTGGTGTGATGGCGAATGAAACGGAGCTGATTGATGCTCAAGATAGTTACTTGATCATGGTCATGGAAGCTTCTTGCTGACTGATACTGAGCACTAATGCTTGTCCAGTACGTCACCATCCCAAGATGTCTGATGGAAGTTTGTCATTTTTTACCTTTTGCAGGTTCGATTTGGTGGTGATAGTGAATGGCCGGAAGGAGAAGATAGCCTCTGGCCTGCTAAACCCGTTCCTGGCACACCTGAAGGTCGCCCAGGATCAGATTGCAAAGGGAGGATACTCAATTACGCTTGAGCCGAGCTCAGGGGTTGGCGCGCCATGGTTTACAAGAGGCACCGTGGAGAGGTTGGTGGCCTTTGGTTATGACAATTACCTGTGGCATTGGCATTTCCAATCGGGTTATTCACATGCTACTTCTTTGCAGATTCGTGCGCTTCGTGAGTACTCCGGAGGTGCTTGAGCGAGTGACGACGATAGAATCCGAGATCTTGCAGCTCGAGGACGCCATCTCTATTCAGAGCAACGATAATCTTGGGCTAAGATCTGTAAGTCGACGATTGTCGTTTATGAGTTTATTCTTGTTATTTGCAGAAAGGTGACGCATTCTTGTTTGCTATCTGGAAGGTAGAAGATCATGGAGGAAAATTGACTGAAAGCAACGAAGGTATAACATTATTGTTGTTATTTATCATGATGCATTGAATGGTGCTTGCTTGTGTCCTCTGGGGAACGCATACATCTGTAACAGCTTTCCATTGGGCCACACACACACACAAAAAAAAAAAAGAAGAGGAAGCTGCAGTCCGATCTGACTGTTTTAGAATTTAGAATGTAGTCATTATGGAGTTTGATGTGACATCATAACCTATTATTGAGTTAGGTACATACAACTATGTTGTAGGTATGTATGAAGTGCCAATTAATATATTCTGATTTAGGGGGCAAGGCAATTCCTTCTATTATTTTGTAGCTACAATAAAACTGTTCTCTTACTTTATACCTTTTAAATTTTCATACAAGTTTTAAAGATGGAGTTCTTAAACTATTACCATGATTTATTGATTTAGGTCTCAATCTTGAGCTAGCAGACAATTATAGGAAGTATTGTGTCCTACTGTTCCGAAAGAACCTGATGACAGATTGACAGGATGACCAATTGAGTTTTTATTTTCCAATTTCAGTTACCTTGTCTTAAAGTAGCTTTTGTATCCTATTATTTATTGTATAACATAACCTGATACTATCTATGCACTAACAGGTACACGAGCGAATCACAGCCCTGATGCAGATAAGGCTATTGTTATATACCAGGTCTGATTATATATTTGTAAATTTTGTATGTGCATCCTTCTTCCTTTCCTGTATGTATCATGAACTAGCACTGACCCCACTGGCATTTTCAATTGATGACAGCCTGGATCACAGCCTACACCAGCAGTGCATGATGAGACTACAACACATGAAGAGAATTCAAAGTATATTGGCACCACCAAGAATATTTTTGTTTTGTATTTTTTTAAAACTTTCCATTTCCGGGAACAAAAATATATATATTTATATCCCTGAAAGTAGCTGTGTTTTACAAATCACAGCATAGAGTGGAGAATAAAAAAGAGAATGTTGGTATTCATTTACTTTATTTGTTGTTTTGATTTTTATTCAAGCTACTACATATATGCTCTAAGATCGCATTCAGTTTCTTTTGATACTTACCTGTCCTACATGGGGAAGCTGTTAACAGATACATTCTCTTATGAACAACTTACAGAGTCCAACTGCTGAGAGTGCTTGAAACCCGAAAAAATGTCTTAAGGAAAGAGCAGGCTATGGCTTTTGCACGTGCTGTGGCAGCTGGGTTTGACATCGACAATCTGGGTTACTTGATTGCGTTTGCAGAGCGCTTTGGTGCTTCACGTTTGATGTAAGTAGTCTTCGTCATTAGTTGTTTTTTTTATAAGCTGGATATCTTAATGCCTTGGCCCTTTTGTGCTTTAAACATATCCTTATTGATGCTATTTTATCTTCAAAATGACATCTTTATTTTTGTCTATTCAATAGTGTGTTGTAAAGTCAGAACAATGTTGATGCTTTATATGTGAATGGCACACACAGTAGCACATAATCTAGAACATTACTCTTTTCCATATGCAGAATATTGTTATTACTGTTCCCTTCATTTGTATTGCTCCTAAACGTTAAACCTGCACTGGTAATTTGTGGTGGATGTAATAATCTTACCATTATTTATAAAAAATAGAGAAAGGAAGAGGCCCCAAAAAAGAGAGAGAAAGGGGAGAGCCGGAGAGGGAAACAGATGATGACATACCAAGAGGGATATAGCCTGTTGTCTCTGTTGCTGTTATTATTTGTTATCTGTGCTGCTAACATCGGTTTAACGGTTTTCATCATCACTGGTATACTACTATAGTGTATTCATCATCAGCTTTCATGGACATGATCGGAGTACGGAGTAGCAGGGGCAAGGGGACTGGGTTGGTTGGGTTGGGACAGGGCACTTTACCTTTTCCCATCTCTTCACCCTTTTCTTTTTTATATTTTTTACTTCTCTCTCTGTCCTGCTCTCAGCCCATTCTTCCTATTGATAATGGTCAATCTGCGTTACTCAGTTCAGATAGTGCATAGATGCCTCACCTGGTGTTGGTGCCTTCGTACCTTATTTATTCAGTTATATAAATTTAGTTGTTTTAGCTAAGCTAGTATTTTTGTTATGAAGACATTTCCCATGCTAAACTTTTTCAGTGTTAAAAATTGAATAGGAGGGCATGTTCGCAGTTCATCGAACTGTGGAAGCGAAAGCATGAAACTGGACAATGGATTGAAGTTGAACCAGAAGCAATGTCTACACACTCTGAATTTCCTCCTTTTAATCCATCGGGTATTGTTTTTGTTGGAGACAACATGAAGCAAAACACGGAAACTATGTCTGTTTCCAATGGAGAGGCAAATGGCGAGGATGCTTCTAAAGCTGGTACGCATTCTTCTGCATAATCCAGAAAAGCCTCCTCACTTCAATTTTTTAGCAATGTCTATAACACGGGATGTGAAAAAATAGCATTTTCGATGAATTATCAAATATCAAAATTCATATTTAAAAGCATTAAGGTAGAGAACTTATTCCATTTTTCGTTGCCAAGAATAGAATTGTTATTAATTTGACTGTCTGCAAATGCATTTAGAAAGCAGTAAATAAATTTATTTTTGTCTGTTATTCTATTCAAACTTTATACCTTGCTGCACTGTACACTAGTACATCATCTTTGATTTTAGCGTGTCTTTGTTTTTTCTCTTCGAGATTATTGGAGCTTACAAGATTGCTTTGTCTCTGCTTTACAGAGCATAAGTCTGGTCAACAGATGGGGTATCAGGCTGCATATCCTCCATGGGCAATGCATCCTCCACCTTACCATATGCAAGGAATGCCTTACTATCCTGGGCCGTACTACCCTCCATATCCTCCAGTGGATGACCCCAGGTATCACTACTCGGGAAGGAAATCATCGAGGAAGCACTCTTCAGACAGTAAAGAGTCAGAAGTACTTGACGAAGGAAGTGATGGTAGCAGTTCTGAAAGAGGGAGTTCTCATGGTCACAAGTCACATAAAAAGGGTAAGCGATCAGGGAAAAAGAAACCTAGTGTAGTTGTCATAAAAAATGTAAATGTAACATCCAAAAAGCATGGCTCGTCGGAAAGTGAGTCGCAGTCAAGTTCTGAAGATGGGTCTCAAGACAGTGATGACACACACTACAAAAAGAGACATGGGAAGCATAAGAGCTCAGGTTCAAAGAAAAAGGAGGGTGCAAAAACTAACTTTGACTCTGGAGACGACTATAATAACAAGGATGAATCATCTTATGGGCAAGATGCTGACCAAGGGAACTGGAATGCATTCCAGAGTTTCCTGATGAGAGCAGAAGAAAAAACAAGATCTAATGATGCAGATATGTTTTCTGGTGAAAAAGCACCTCCATCAAGGAAAAAGAACAATGTAAACACTGCTGATCCTATTCTTTTGGCTGGGGGAGATTCTGGTGATGTATATGAACAGAGAGGAGCAGGCTTTGATCCAGTCAATGGGAGGAGTAGAGCTATTCGGCTGCAATCCAATGATGAACTGATGATGTCTGGGGAAGGGGGAAGATATATGGATGGTGAAATTAAGGAGATAGAAGCTGGTGGTGGAAGATACAGGAGAGGGACAAGTGAGGACTTCATGCTCTATGGCCAGGAAAGGTCCATGGATAGGAGGAGTGCTTTGGATCCTCTTGCAGAGGCCCGGTACAGGAATCCTAATCAGGTGGACAAGAATGGATATGCCGCGGCTGATGAGTCCTTTATAATTCCTCTTAGATCTGGTTCACAAGATAATGTTGGGCCGGAATACCGAGCCACGATTGACATTGATGTTGAGCTTCCTACAAACACTAAGAAAACTTCAGATGGGAAGGCTGGAACTCAACTCTTCTATGAGCCGGATGAATTGATGCCAGAGCGTGGATCTGAAGATGCTTCATTTGGATATGATCCGGCAATGGATTACGAAAGCAACATGATGGTCAGAGCCGTCAAGGTTGAAGACAGTAATGACGAGGATGTCTCACATAGTAATGATGGCGATGTAAAGAAACCAGAGAAGGAGAAGATAAGGGGTACAAAGGATGGTTCGGATAAAAGAAAGAAGGATGCAATACTCAGGAGGCTCTCTGCTCCAAAGACCCCACTCAATGATGCACAGAAACGTGCACAGAACATGCGAGCATATAAAGCTGATCTCCAGAAACTGAAGAAAGAGCAGGTATTGTTTCTATTTTCCCCTTTCTTGTCTCCAAGCAGTTTGAAACTTAGTTCTTCTGCATGGTGTAAATTTAGGTACATTAGTTGACAATTTTTTTTAATCCTTATCATCACTCCAAAAGCACCAAGTCTGAACACAATACTGAATAACGGCAACTTTCTGTTATTTTACCTATACAGTAATGCATCAACAGATTAAAATGAACATGTGTCATGTGTACAGAAATTGCCAATTGAACCCACTATAAAGAATTGATTATTTTTTTAGTTCTCAAAGTCTTGTTTCGGCTCTGTATTTGTAGTTGTACCATCTAAGTATTTTAACATAGAGTAAAGTCCATCACCGGTCCCTAAATTTGTACCGCTGTATCATCCTGGTCCATAAACTTGTAAATCGACCGTTCAGGTCCTCAAACTTGCTCGACTGTGTCATCCCGGTCCCTAAACTTGCAGATCACTCGTTTAGGTCCTCCAGCTTGTTTAGCTGTGTCACCCCGGTCCCTAAACTTGGATTTGAATATCATCTGGGTCAAATAGGACGGTCTAAAGACTTTATATTTAAAAATAATTCATAACTTTTTCATGTGAACTCTAATAAAGACAAACTTTATATCAAACTTGTAGCCCTCGATGCGATCTACAACTTTGTAGTTGATTTTTTTTATTCTAAGTCATTTTTTGTCCCAAAATGTAATTTTAAAATTAAAATTTCAAAATATATAAACATGCAACAATATTTTGGGACCCTAAACAGTTTTAATTCAAATCGCGTCGAGGGCTACAATTTTAATATAAAGTTTGTCTTCATTAGAGTTCACATGAAAAAGTTATGAATTATTTTTTAATATAAAGTTTTTAGACCATCCTGTTTAGGGACCGGGGTGGCACAACTGAACAAGTTGGTGGATCTAAACGAGTGATTTGCAAGTTTAGGGACCGGGATGACACAGTCGAACAAGTTTGAAGACCTGAACGATCGATTTGCGAGTTTAGGGGCCGGGATGACACAGCGGTACAAGTTTAGGGACCGGTGATGGACTTTACTCTTTAACATATATCTGAGCAACTTTCCCTTTCTTTCAGGAGGAAGAACAAATGAAGCGACTGGAGAGGCTTAAACTAGAGAGGCAAAAGAGAATAGCCGCAAGAAGTAATGGGAAGAGTGATCCTCCTAAAGCAAGCAGAGAGCATGCCAATGGACTAAGTATATCAGTTCCATCTCTAACTGGTCTGAAGAAAGAAAAGAGTGGATCGACCGAATCATTCAGCGAGCGACTGAAGAGGCTGGCTGAACCCAAGAGCATCGGTGGTGCTGACCATCTTTCAAATCCAAAGTCAGTTACCACAGACCACTCAAGGAGAAGAAGCATGGTATGAGCTCATCTGATATCGGCAGCGAAAAATTCCGAGTATTTATCATGTAATTTCACAACCCAGAAAAACAGGACGAAAATAACAGCCAGATCTCCAAAAGCTGTACAGGGAAAAAGTTTGGTGTTGATTATTAAGTGGTGGTGCCTTGCATCTGAGATTGCGGATGAGAAATTTGAGAATTATTACAATGGGTCTGGCATTTTAATTTTTCGGTTTCATATATTGTATTCATTCTTTTGATTGAAGGTGGCTTGTAATAGCTGTAAACCTGTTTTTGTTCATGGCACATACTACTATATTGTGGATGTATTTAGTGGAGAAATCGATCAGTGTGTTTGGGTGAATGGTGTGATCTTTACAGTGGAAAATGTCACGCCTGGAAAACACCTTTTCTGAACGCTAGCGTATTAATCCCCGTCTTAGAAAAAGATGAGGTACACCACTTAAACATGATAAAAAAATATGATATAAAAGATACATCTTTATTAATTATCACGATAATATTTACATTATTACAAAGGCACACATAAAGCCCGATAAGAAAAGAAAAACAACAGCGGACTAGCGGGCCTACGGCTCTATCTTTGGAGGCGCTCAACTAGGGTATAAGCCAAGATTCCACCCAAGACTTCTTCGAGACGCTTCTCTAACTGAAGGACGAAAGATTGAACAAGGATGAGTACAACCATCATACTCAGTAAGCCACACCGGAAAATGCACTTAATGCATTAAACAAGCATTTCAAACATTCAATCATTTAACGGCATTTTAATAAAACCACGGCCTATCTCTAGTCAAATTAATATAAAGCCGCGCTCCGACGCAATCTTGCTTTAACCCAGGCCCACAAGTTCCAACAAGTAGTTCCAGTCTAACAGAGAGAAATCTCTAGCTTTGGGTCATTGCTTCGCTTGCCCATAACCGAGGGCGCGGCTATTCGAATAGATTATACTCTGATCAGAGGTGTACAACTTTACCCATAAAACGCAATCTTGACATTATGTCAGCCATGAATCACCGTACCAGAAAGGTACCCAAAAAAGTCAAGATCATGGCATAACCTACTGTTTAGTACTGTCCTAAACAAAGAAGACCGACATAGACTTACACGGCCAGTAGACTCTGGGACATGTGGACAATCTATTCCCTCGGTGGCGACTACCATGAACGTCCGTCCGATGCTTGGGCATCATCCATCCCTATCCGTGTCTTCCTTGTTCATGAACGCACTAACTGATGCGTTAAGCCTTACCCATTAAACATGTGGTTGCATGGAATATGCTTTGCAATCGTGCCCTGAAGACCGGTCCTTATGTCGGCTAAGGTGCGACTAGCTAAACCAAGTACCTTGAGCCCAGCCGAAAAATAAGTTTGGGAATTTTGAAAGGGGAGAAATCTGCATATTAATATTTTGTTTGTGCATATTAATGTCTTCCGTTAGATGTTGATCCAAAGGGTAAGAAATCTGCATGATAGGAGTCTAAAAAATATGTCACATGATGTATAGGCAGTCCCAGTAAGAAAGTGTCATTGATTTTTTGAAAAAGATTTATACATAGGGTGTAATACTCTATCCCTATTTATCACCTCGCGAAAATTGATCTTACACTATACACATAAAATAGAAAATATTAATAGGGAGTAAAGTGAACGAATTATAGAAAATCTTATAAATTTCAAAAGAAAACAATTATCAGTACTTTTCGCTTCAATTGGAACACCTATTACCATAATCATCGCATCATGTAAGCACATAGATGCTAATGGACTTCCTGAGTGTCCCCGCATCTTGCATATGTAAGCTACGAAGGTAAAAAAAATATAATTGGCACAAAAGTTATATTTCTTGCAATTGAATTTAAAGTTTAATACTCATGTTGACTCGATTTTTTCTTGTAAAAGATACTATGCATCCCACATATCATAGGTAAATGAGGTGTAGGATATGTATTTCTCCTCCTCTATTAAGTATATAACATGTTGCTTCAATTTGAATCAATTAGAGGGGGGAGTAGGTTGATGGTACAAATAAAACATATTTAGTACCAATAATAGCCTTTCAAGATTTGATAAAAAAAGAGCCTCTAAACATTCAATTAAAAAAGAAAAAACACATTACTTTGATTTTACACCTAATTTGTGTTAGACATGTTTTTAAAACAAACTAAATCTACATTTTTCTAAGACGATGATGTTGATTATGAGGATGAATGACATATTATCTCTACTATTATAAAAATTTTAGATGTTTTTGCCGGTATTTCGGTACGTCATCCGTATATGAGTCGGTTTTTAAGTTTGTTCGCTTTTGAAAATATATATCCTATATATCCGTATTTGAGTCAATTTTTAAAGTTAGTTCACTTTTGGAAATACAAAAGAAGTCGTATATAAATCTCTTAAAAAAACTCGCATGCTAACTTGAGACGATCAGACTCCTAACTGTAGCTCAAAATTTTCTATAAAAATATATATTCAAGTGAATTTCTACAGTAAATTTCACCTTAACTAAACTGTATAACAATAACAAAATTAAAATAGCCTACACCCGTTGTAATGCACGGGTATTTTTTCTAGTATAGTATAAAGCTAATAAATAGCTTGGAAAAAGTTATGTAATGTAATGCCGATGAAGAAATCATACTTTTAAAGCATGGCACAAACATACAAGTTTCCCAGATACTCCCTCCATGCACAAAAGTTAGACATATTTCACATTTGAATTTTTCCAAATAAGTTGTTCCTATTTATAGTCTTTATGTATCTAAGATTTAAATGAAAAGATAAATTAAATGTTTGATTAGAACCCAATGAGTCATCTAAATACTTATTGATTACATGCTTGCATTCACTCCTTGATTTGGTAACATGCAAGATGATTTAATTTCTCCTTGATCTTGGTAACAAAAGTAATGTATAACTTTTATGGATGGAGGGAGTATTCCTTAACCTGCAAGCTAACATAAAATTGATTTACTACTTTAGTTATAGCAAAAGCTCATTTTATGTCCTAATGATTTTTTTTCTTCCTTTTCATACAAGTTGTATTGTGTAAAACAATTTTGCTTTTACACATGTCAAAGAGGTGTAGGCTTTACCAACAAAGGTTTCTCGAGATTTCTTAAGAAAAAACAAAGACATCGAATATTCAATTAAAAAGAAAATCATCTTACTTTTCATTAGAGCTACCTTTATTAACCCTATTTTCTAAACAAATTAATATACAAGTTTTCATGAAAGAGCCATGACATGATGGCATTAACATGCTAATAATGGCAAGCATGTTGTAATCTTCACCATGTTCTTATTAACTCCATTCAATCTATGTTTTTGTTAGAATCACTTGTAAAGAGTATCTGCTGACGGTGACTGTGGGTGGAGTACTACACTAGCGGTACATCATTCACTTGACTACAGAATATAGAGGCTAATTCTGTCGAGTGACAATAGCACATGGCGTATTATAATTTATAAGTTTGTATCAGTGGAAATAGTTGTTCTATCCCTTGTTTCGGGCACTGGACCTATGGGTACGCCACATGCAAAAACTACTTCCTCCGTTTTATATTATAAGACTTTATAGTATTGCTCATATTTATATAGATGTTAATGAATCTAGGCATCTTATAACGTGAAACGAAGGTGATATTGTTTATTTTCCGTGATCAAGTAATGGTGAATTATAATTTAATAAATTGCCTTTTTCCTGGAAGGAAGCAATACTGCAATAACCTTGTCCTATTTGGCTTAACCACCAACTGACCTTGTCGTTATAACTTGCGATGAAATTATGGAAGAATTTTCAGCCTCCTGACTCTCCATGTCTGCAAAATTAAGAGGGCATACAAAGCAGACAAGTACAAATTTACAATCACTCACGTTGTTGCTTGCATAAAACAGCAAATGTGTTCCTTTTCTTTTTCGGTAATTCCGCTCGTTACTTGTGTGAACAGCTATAAGATCTCAAAACAAAATATATATTCCATAAAGACTTCATAATTATATCATGAAATAGGAACACCCGAAACAGGAAATATTGTATTAAGAATTATCAAAATTCAACACCCGAAACAGGATAGCTAAAATCCAATATCTTGCTCGCTAGCATTTCCACACATCAAAGCTCAGATTGAGCATATTTAATATATCTGCTCATGCAAGAGCAGAAACAAGAATCAAAGATAAATAGCAATCCTGTGTCAAGAAATTGGTTAACAGGTTGGTTAATAATCGGTAAAGATAGATGGCCACATTCTTAGATATTTAGTCCAAAATAAAGGGGTTGTTCAGACTGTAGCTAAAATAAACCTTACTAAAATTTAACAAGATTTCTTATGTAAGTACCAAAGTTCGGCAAAACACTAAATGCGAAGATGGTATTAAAAACATGCCCTAGCCCACATTATTTTAAGATAAGTAATATTATTACATCCTGGCCTCTGCATTTTGGATGCGCACAAATATAATGTTTGAGTTTACAAGTCTTAACAAGGGGAGTAACTTCCCATGAGATGAAATAAGCAAACCACGTAAACAAAAGTACATTAAACATGAAACCAACGAGAAACCCACTATGCAAAGTGGGTGAAAAAGTCCCCGACGATAATGGCCAGCCCACTGCAGGCAGAAATCCTATTGGCAAAACCACCTGTTCCACGTAAAATACAAGTGATTTTCGATAGAATGATCAGTTTCAGTGAAGGGAAGAGAACATACTAAAGATATTGAAAATAAGAATAAACAAATAATAAGGTGAATGCAGAGATTCGATTATTGTTGGAGGAATATTTCGTACCAGGCTATTGTCATTCATCCGCTTATCACTGAACTCACATCAGAGTCTCCATTGTAATCATCATCGCCGTCATCATTAAAGTAAGAGTGGTCCACATCATTATTGTAAGAGTAACGCACATTTTTACCATGAGCATGGAATTGTTCGAAGTAGTAATAAACTTCTGCGAGGATACGAGACTCTGTATTTAATCTGTTGGCACCACTTCCCAAAACTTGTACACAGATTTCTTTCAATTCAGTCAAGCGCTCAATGCCAATGGCTTCAGAATTGCATTTATTCCATCCGTCAGCAGCAAAATTTAAACTAAGCCTTTCAACCTGGGGCATTGCACCAGCCTGGAAGATCAGACATGGTGCTCTACAACTGAATTCAAAATGCTTCAGAGCGGGGAATGACTTGTCAGTAATGGTGATGGAGTTTTCCATAGGACCCCTTCGGGTTTCCAGAAAAAGGTGGACTAGGGTGGGCATTCCTCCTAGTGCACGGACATCACTCATGTCCAAGTCCTCAACTGAGAGTACCAAGCTGTAAAGTTCACGGAGTTCTTTAATCCACTTGGGAACATGTAAAAACCAGCAGCCAGAAAGAACTAGTTTCTCAAGATGTTGGGGCGATGGAGATACATTACTCAACCTAGAAGCATTGTAACCAGAACCAGGAGCAGAAATGTATAGATATTTTAGCTTACCATAAGCAAGCTTTCCAAGGGAACAACAAAGAGCATCCTGTTTTTCTGTTTTGAGTTTCCTTCCATCAAAGAAATAATCAAGTTCTATAAGACTAGTCAGCTCTCCAATGCCCTTTATATTCTTTGATGAGTTCATATCCAAATCGAAACACTTCAGAGTACGTAAGGATTTCAGGTTGCAAATCCCATCAGGCAAGCTTGTCTGCGATGGAACAATCAGATGCGACAAATTTGGCAAACAGACAATATCAGGTGGCATATAAAGTAGTCTAGACCCTTCTATGCACAGTGTCTGCAAATACTGCAACATCCCAATTCGTCTAGGTAAGAGTGTAATGTATGCTGAAACCTTCAAGTATCTTAGTTGGAACAATGCTTGAATTCCTGTGAGGTCAATTTCCTGCAGAAGGCCACTGTCAAAAGATTGTAAAATTAATACTCGAAGAAACCTGTACTCGGAAACATCCATAACCGAAGCTCCAAAAAACAGAAGAGATCGAACTTGTGACAAATCAAAGCTTGCTGGTATTCTGAAAGCACTTGATTCATTAACATGAAGGCAGAGCCGTCGGATTTTGTCTGGGCGTCCTCTTGTTGCTCCTAACTGATCGACTACTGTAAGAAAATTCTCTTCTGCAGATTTATACCTGATAAATTCAAGCATCGAACTATGAACTCTGAAAGACAACACCTCATCATTGTAATCTGTATCTACAGGTTGAACCACACTCCTATTGACAAGCTCGTTGAAATAACCCTTTGCAACATGCTCAGCATCTTGCCCATGCATGCTGCTCGCAAAACCTTCAGCTACCCATTGCTTAACCAAATCATCTTTTCTGATAGTGTAACCCGTTGGATATATACCCAGATATAGTAAGCATGTCTTCAGATAATTCGGAAGATTTATGTAGCTAAGGTTTAATGTATGCCGTATTCCTTGAAATGTGGAACATGTTCCGAGTATGGTGCACAGAGAACTTCGCAGAGACTCCAATTGTTCCTTAAATGTAGTTTGCCGAGAAGCTAAATGTTGAGCTACAGTGACAATTGCAAGTGGCACCCCATCACACTTCCTTACAATCTCAACTAAGCCTTCTTCCAAATTTTCAGGACATTGATCTTTGGATCCAAATATTCTACTAAAAAATAATGTTTCTGAATCTTTAGCATTCAGACATTGCATCTTATATATGAAATCAGCCTGATAAGCACAACATGCTCTGCCCACGGTCTCAATTCGTGTCGTTGTTATTACTCTACTACCATGAGAATTTGTTGGAAAAGCACAACTAAGAATATTCCACACTGACTCATCCCATAAATCATCAAGTATGATGAAGTACCTACAAGAAAAAATATATAGCACACTAGTTATAGAGATATTAATAAGAAACAATGTTCCGATGACACATAAGTTAGAATCTGACACAGATTCAGGTGTCCAGTTCAGCAAGTTATTAAAAAGTAGGATTCAGGGAGTCATGAAATGTAAGTAAATATTTATAAAAAAAAATATAACGGATGCCCATTATTTGTGTCCTAGGACACCTTGAATAGATTTGGATTCAGGCATGCCCATTATTGGTGTATACTCAGGCTTCTAAAATTTGATCAAGGTGTCCTGGGACACAATATTACAATAAGCCCCATATAAAGGCTCCCAACAGTTTGGTCAAAAAAAGAAAAAAAGACTCTCAACAGTTCCAAGTAAAATCAATCTAATAATAACTTGTCTCCTCTACTTCCTCTGGTCACAATACAGACCATCCCATTCAACTATGTGTTATTGCATGGAAGCATCAGCCAGGATAGGTCTGGAATCAGATTAATCCAACATGGTTAGATAATGGCCCTTAGGCTGAGTTCGGATGGGGGATCATGTGCACGGAAAACGGAGCGGTCCATTAACACGTGATTAATTAAGTATTAGCTAATTTTTTTTTTCAAAAATGGATTAATTTGATTTTTTTAAGCAACTTTCGTATAGAAACTTTTTGCAAAAAACACACCGTTTAGTAGTTTGAAAAGCGTGCGCGCGGAAAACGAAGGAGAGGGGATGGGAAAAGGTGCATGCGAACACAGGCTTAGTCCTGATTGAAATGTTTACGAACCAAGTGATGCCATGACACTGTGTCAATAGCCATATCGCTAGGACAAGTTGTCAGGGAGACAGACTAGGAACTTTGGTTTGTTTGTCACTTTCTCCAACATTACGATAAGCATCAGTATATAAAGGACTCTTCTGACAATTATACACGAGATGCTAGCTGGACTAGGAACATTGGTTTTTTTCTTGCTTTCTGCAACAATTGCAATAAGCATCAAGATATTAAGGACTCTCCTAACAAATAACAATTACACAAGATCTAATTTAACCAGACTGCCAAAGAATCTTGACCAAAAGGCCATCACTAAGATACTCCAAAATCTCATGAGATGGAAATTATTATAAATTACCATTACTAGTGCAAATTTTCTTGAGTGGTGAATTTCCAGACATGTAAGTTAGGATTTTAGATCATACAGTGCCAGCAGGCTTGTGAGACATAGGCCGAGCAGCATGCTTAATCAAATGAAAAAATACAGTTATGACACTGAGCATAATTGATAATATGTACCTTTTGTTATTTAGATGTTCCCTGAGTTTGCTAATGAGGTATTGCACATCGTTGGATTCAGCAGACTTCTGTTCTCCAAGCTGTGAGAGCATGTTGCGTAGTAGTACTGCAATCTGAGGTCTTTGGGTCACTGATACAAAAACTCGATACTCAAACTGTTCTCCAAGTTCATGGTACACCTCATTGGCAAGAGCTGTCTTGCCTAAACCCCCAAATCCCACAATAGATAGCACTTTCAACCCTTGCTCTGCATGAACATTCATTAACAGTTTGATGAGCTTGTTCTTTGGTCCCTCAATACCCACAAGGCCAGCTGAATCCACAAAAAGTACAGGTAGTCGAGTATCAAGGCACAAAGAGGGAGACGCCAAGCTGCAATCAAGTTTATACCTCTTATGCTGATGAATTGCATCCACGATGGCAATCGTCAATTGTTGGATCCGCTGATTGGCATGAGAGTGTTCGATTAACATACTGATGTATTGAGCAATCCATCTAGCGAACAAAACCTTACCATAATAATGACCTTGGCAACTCAAGTCATCAATGTAATCCTCAACATCATACGTCAGCTCCTTCACTTGGCTCATCCACTTCTCTGCTAGTGGAGCAGGTTCATCCATTTCTGCTAATACCTCAAGGAGAATATTCAGCTCACTGAGCTGACTCTTAAGCAACACCAACTCATTCCGCACACCTTTGAGATTATAATTTTCCTCACATGGGAGGGAGTTGAGCTTCTCCAGAAGAGAGTTCATCACCCCAGTTGAAACACTTACACTAGCCATCTCTCTTTCCCTCTTCCTTCCCTTATCTCTTTCATGCTCTGCAAAAATGGTGTAACAGTGCGTGTGAGTTTTGCCACAGGCAGTTGCTGTACTTTGTGATATGAATGTACAGCTGAGCAGCCATGCATTGTAATGAATTTCAAATAAATGATATCACAATACCCAAAAAAATATATATTACAATTTTCCATATATACATGAGTTGGTTCTTGGTTGTTGTGAAACTCAAAAACATATTGAGAGAACCATACAACATCCATCAACAAAGGTCTGCAAGGCCAAATACAAAGATTATAGCTGTATAAGCGCTACAAAGTGGGTGACTGCATGAATAGCACACCTACACCTGATATTAGGATTTTAATATAAAAATTACATTTTAGAAGATAGAGCATTATGCCACAAGTAAAGTTCATATATATGTACACATATTTATGCAATTCATGCCTTCCAAAATATCCCCAAGAGACAACACACTCACTAATCAAATTCAGTTTGGACACAATCTGTTCCATTGCATTGGATTGTCTTCTTCTAAAGGGAAGTGACGGTGTATATAAACAAGGAATGCCTACAATGTCAATAAACGTAATTTTCAATCTCCACTATTTTAGTGCTTAAAAAAATTAGAAAAAGTCCATATACACTTAGTCAGTGACCAGTCATCACCCCTTTGTTTTACTTCTACTATCAACTTCATCGATCGTCCACATAGGGCACTAGTTCTTAACATGGCATTCTTAAGTTTAAGATCAAAGAGTCGGCAGAGAGTTGCAGGTTCTCCTGTAGCTGGATTCCCCAGAACCACAAGAATCATTAGAATGGGATATTGATTGCTTATTTACTTTGATGTATATCCATAAAAAGAAGTGCCCTATCTTTGTAAGACTTAAATACTTTCTTTGTTTATCCATACCAAGATGAACCATCTAAAATTGAAAAAAAAATGAGTATGTCAACAAAAAAAAAAACATGAGTATCACAACTTGAAAAAAATGTGTCCGGTATGTGTATGTTGACTACTCACAAATTATGTAAGATTTTGTTGTGCTCACAAGTCACAATGCTAATTATTTTGTAATATTCAGAATTTGTAATGAAGCCAGGATTTTGAATGAGTATGCAACTGTACTTCCTAGATACCAATTGAATTGCAGGTAGAATATTAGATAGTCTTGGAGCTTTCCTATGATTTTTTTTTTGTATTCAGCTTTAGGAGAGCTTTATTCAATTACCTATATATGGCAACTGTGGAGGGGAAGCAGCTAGCGGACCAGACGTATCTGGGAAACGTGAAAAAGAAGTTCCTGCCAGAATGCACAAGGGAGAAGCCCTGACAACACATTCATAGTTTGTTAAATATATATACATATATAATATCAGACAAGAACCAAAAGCTAGCTAGAGCATAGTAACACATAACATGGAAATGCTGACATGCCAGATAATTAAAGCTAACACTGAAATAAAGGGGAAAGAAGAACTTAGAGAAGATGATATAATTCGTACCGTCTGACAACTCTTCCTTCCTTATTTTTCTGTGTGTTAAGTTCCAGAATGCCATGTTGATCAGTTAAAACTTTCTCCAAGATCTGACATTGTGTTTCCTGTAGAGACATGTATGCCTTTTCTTCAGCCTTGCTACTCATTGCTTCATTACCGTCAAAAATGCAATCTACCTGATGGATATTGATGCTAGGACAACCTGGATGTACTTTTGAAACATTGATCAACACGCGCTCTGCAGCTATTCTGTCAGATTTACTAGCACCAAAGACGCCAATTACTCCATTGATTTCTGTTAGGCTCAAAAGGAACTCAATACCGACACTCGTACTGCAGTATTCCTCTGCTCCATGTGCATTGAAACCTAGCTTGAGCCTTTTCAGATTGGGCATTGCTCCTTCCTCAAAGCTTAAGCAAAGTAGTCTACACTTGAACTTGAGGTACTTGAGAGCTGGAAATGCCGTTTTATGAAAGATAATCTTGCTTGAAGGGACTGTCCGAACATTCAGTGACAGAATTGAGAGGGAAGGCAATCCTATGAGATTGTCGATATCATATCTCAGTACTTCTCTGACAACAATTTTTAAAACACACAATTTGTCAAGTTGTCCAATCCACTTGGGAAGCCTAGAGAACACACCAATAGGCATCAATAACTCAAGTTTCTGGAGAAGTCTGGGAGGAGTGGACACAATTCTCAAACCATCGCAGGAAATGCACTTGCTTGAAGCACTGTGACTAGGAACCAGAGATAAAGATTTCAGATTGCCAAGTCTCCATAGGAAAGAGCTGACAACTTCCATGTTCCTCTCCAAGCGGTCAAATGGTACAGTCGAACAAGTAAGTCGAAGATCTTGCAGATTAGTCAGCTCACCAAGGTTTCTTATGTTGTCTTCAGAGTTATTACAAAGGTCAAAGTATCCCAGAGAACGCAGAGATCTCATGCTGCCAATCCCATTAGACAAATCAGTAATACATGGAAGATGTAGATGAAACAAACGTGGCAAATGAACAATGTCAGATGGAATAGCACTTATTCTTGCATTTATCTCCAATGTTTCCAAATATTGTAGCCCTTGCATCTTCAATGGCAGGTCTACACTTATGTTGCATGAAATTTTCATATATCTCAGTTGAAATAGTCTGCCAATATTAGTCAGATTGAAACTTGACTGACCATCATGGCAACCCCAGAGTTGAAGGATCACTACTCTAAGAAGCTTAAACTCCATAATAGAAGGCACAAAATTAGTAAGTCCAACAAAGTACCAAGATCGAACTTGTGCCAGTGTGATATTTGCTAAATTTGTTGCATATTTTGTACTGCTAAACCGCAGGGACAGTCGTCGAACCTTATGAGGAAATCCTATACTAGTTTCAGAACAATCAATTACTGTCACAAAATTCTCTTCCATGGATTTGTTCGTAATAACGTCAAGTACCATGTGGTGAACCGTACAAGATATCACCTCATCATTATAGTCAACATCTACAGGTTGTATCATTCCTCTGTTGACAAGCTCATAAAAATAGTTTTCAGCAACTCGATCGATTTCTGTTCCTTGTGTCAAGCTAATAAAACCTTCAGCCATCCATTGCTTCAGCAAATCATTCGTCCAAATTATGTGCCCCTCAGGATATATGCTAAGATATAGCATACATGTTTTCAGAGAATGAGGAAGACTGTTGTAGGCAAGGTTTACTGCTTGCTTGACTACTTCAAAAGAAGAATTTGTCATCAATGTGGAAGTTAATGTGTTATCTAAACAATCCCATACTTCTGATTTGTTTGACTGTCTTGCTAAAAGACTAGCTATACTGATAACTGCGAGGGGCAAGCCACTACATTTTCTTATAATTTTATTTGCAACATCATCAAATCTTTTAGGACATTTATTTTCGGAACCAAATACTCTACTTAAAAATAACTTTCTTGAGTTTCCATCACCAAGAGGTTCCATCTTAAAAGTATGTTCAAGTTGATAGTCACAACATGCCAAAGCAACGTCCTTAATTTCTGTTGTTGTTATTATTCTGCTGCAATGATAAACCTTTGGGAATGCTTGGTTAACAATATCCCATACATCTTTAGCCTGTAAATCATCAATTACAATAAAGAACCTGCCAAGTAATTTTATACACAATAAACATAATGTCAGTTCAGTAGTATGTCAACTAATGAAATACAATCAAGATGGATTAAACAGAATAACACATGATTAATGATTTTCAAGAAAAGATATAATTAGAATTTCAGCTAGTAAATGGTGGTTTTTCCAAATTAATGGTTAAACGTACTAATTGATCAACAATTTTATTGATCAGAAAAGGAATTATCTCACTCTTGATATCTTATGGTTTGATGTTTCAGCAAACAAATACTAGCAATTGAATTGTATAGTTAAAGAGAACATATCCTATGCACACAAGCCTTCACGTGTCCATATCATGTATACCAACTAACAAATATCACTGAAAATTCTAGAAACAAATATAAATGTACTTTCAATAGTATCCCTTCTTTCTATAAAGTTAAGACCCAAAACTGAAACCTCAGCGTTCCACATCATCACTAAATCTCAGCCGTTCGATCGGTGGATGAGATCGCATATGAACCGTTGGATGAGAAGGTCCCCGTGTGAAGCCCAGCCTATCACGGCCCATGTCCTCTCTCTCCAGGGTTTCTTCACCCTCCACCGCATCACAACATCTGCCGCCACCACAAGCGCTCGCTTCTCCTCCCCCATCCCCGCGTGCCAGCCGCTGTGCTCGGCGGACGCGGACAAGCGGCGACGACGGCGGCGGCGGCGGACGCGGACGAGGGAGGCGGCAGCGGTTGAGGGCGTGGTGGACGCGGACGAGGGCGGTGGCAGCAGTTGAGTGCGGTGGCGGTGACGACGACGGCGGACGCGGACAAGGGCGGCAGCGTTGGTCACGGCGAACGCGGACGAGGGTGGCAGCGGCGGAGGTCGCGGACGAGGACGCCGGCCGGCGGTCGAGGGCGGCGATGGATGCGGAAGAGGGAGGCGGCAGCGGTCGAGGGCGCGGTGGACGCGGATGAGGGCGGGCGGCGGTCGCGGACGAGGGTGGCGGCGGCGGCGACGACGACGGTGGACGCGGACAAAGGCAGCAGCGTTGGTCACGGCGAACTTGGATGAGGGTGGCAACGACGGTCTAGGCATATATGGTACTAATATGTTTTGTGATTTATCTGTGTTTGCAGCTCTGATGTGCAGATGTGTAGCAGATGACTCTCCGTCGCATATCGAGAATGCCTATTGCCTGTGATGCCTTCTATGTTTCGGTTCTGAGCAGCATTAAGCCCATTTTTATCTGTTTTACTGCTATGTGTGTTCCTAATTTTTCTCTTCCATTTCATTAATTAGTTTATCCACTGTGGGTTCTAAATAAAAAATATGTTAATTCCCTCTTGACTGACGCCATGAATCAATGACCAGCGTTTATCTTGCAAACCCAGTTAAGTTCTTGCTTATCCTGAACATTTTTCTGACAGTATGTTGGTGAGCTAATCGGTTGGTCCCCTTTGTGTAGGTTGAACAAATAAGGAGGCCAGATTCTACAGATTCAAACTTATTGTGTTAAGTTAAGCAACACAACAAGGTCAGCACTTAATCCCTTTTTGTATGTATGGATATATTCCCTTTATTCATTGATTTGCACTACTTTAGCATAGCACTAGGCTGTCTTATATGGAAATGAATTGGTTGCATATTGGTTCGATCTAAATGCATATATATACAGTAGACCCACCCGATTCCTTTTGACCAAATGCAATTTCAATTTACTAGGCACTTCCATCAGTTATCTATATGCAAAGATTAATCATAGAATGCTACGTACTGAAAATATCTCATATATTTCAGCAGCAATATCAAACCACATTTGTTTCCACGATCAATATTATATGATTTAAATTGTTATAAACCTCACGATCTTAATTATATGAGTGTAACTATTATTTCTTCTAATATCATAAAAAACTCCTGCAGCAACGCGCGGGGCTTCATCTAGTTACATCTACGTGTAAAATCCTATCTTCAAATTCATCATACATAGAGAGCAAAAAAAAAAGACAAAATTCTAGCAGATTTGTAGTCTTAAAACTGTCATAATTTTTGTTTTTTTACAGCCAAAATATACTGAATTTTAGGTTAAGATTTTACACGTAGGTGTAATACTATTGAAAGTATATGCACATGTTTCTCTAGAAATTTCAATGACATTTGTTAGTGGTGTGCATGGAGTGTGCACGTGAAGCTTGTGTGCACAAGATATGTTCCCCTAGTTAAAATATTAACAACACCATTTGCTTGTACATATGAATCTTTTCATTTTTCATGTTCTCTACTCTACTATTTCAACAATTAGTTTCATAGGTATATGCACCAGCAAAGCAATGTAAGAGCCAAAGAGTTGGCATAATTTGGTATTAGCTGATAAGAGCAAGGAAATAGCAGTTCCTATCTGTTAAGTAAATTGTGTTGTTATCATAAGCAAAGGTCAAACTGTATAGATGAACAATTACTCGAATTACAAATACATTTAGTGCATAAAAATTATACCAATAGATTCAATCTTCAAAGTTCTTTAAAAAATATTGGTTTTTTATAGCTACTCAAAAATGAGAAAACAGTTGTCAGGGTTTAATCTTAAAGGATTTTTAAAAATCAAAACCCTATAAAAATAAATGGAGTTCTATTAGGTACTGGCATATAAGTCAAGACATAACCTCCTGTTCGGAAAAAGCAAAGAGTACAGAAAATCTAATCTACATCTTCTGAATCTCTCCCTCTATCCCCATTCTTGTTTTTTGAAGAAAGAGAAAGACATAGCCATGTCTTAGTCCAAAATGTTATTATCATTGTCTCTTTATGAATCTCGAGTTACATTACTTTTCCATGGTCCATCCAAATTAGTTTTGCAAATTTTAGTTTTCAACTGTCAAAGTTGGAAAATCATGAATACACATTCTAAATGGATAGTTGTTTTGATAGAATAGCTAAGGTGCTACTACCAACAAATCTGTGTCAAGTCAACTGGCTATATGTTATCCCCCACAAATAAAAATATTATATTGTCCAGTGATGTGAAAACTTATTATTTCACTATACACTATATAGATCCAGTATCACCCAGAACCCACCATTGATCTTTATGTAAATCTTCACAACCCACAAAGTATTACTCCCTCCATCCACAAAAGTTACACCTGTTACTTTTGTCACACCAAGGAGAAATTAAATCATCTTGGATGTCACAAAATCAAGGAGTGAATGCAAGCATGCAACCAATGAGTATTTAGATGACTCCTTGGGATACTTGATGAACATTATAAATATTAATTTAATTATTCCAGTGGAAAACTCCTTATATATAGGGTCGTTATAGTGGCGACTATTTAATGGTTACTTTGATGTCATGACATTTGTCACCATGGTTCATGTATTTAACATTCAATCCGTAATTTATATTATAGAAGTTAATAATTGACTTGTACTTTATTCGGCTTGTTATCATGTGCACAAATATTTATATGATTAATAATAATTATCTTATTATTATAATTTTTACTTAGTTGTACAGCTTTATCTTAATTTTCAATTGTGACAATTTATAGTTTGGCAAGCAATAGCAACCATAACATCCAACATGATGCAAAAGTTTTTAAAAAGTTCAAAATTTTAGTGATTTTTATTGTCATGAATTTTCAGGATGTTACAGAAATTCTCAAATCTAAAAAGATCAGACTTTGGAATTGAAGTTTTAATCTGAAGTACACATGGGACATGATCAGAAATAGCTCTTGCCAAAGGCTTAACCAAAGTACTTGGATAGCAGGCAGTCCAAGAAACAGAAGTAAAGAACCAGTCAAGCTGCTCTAAAAGAGGACAATTCTGCATATTACTCCAGGTAAAAGACCTACCTTTCAAAGGCAACTCAAGAAGACCAAGATTGTTGATAATATTATTAAAGATAATCATGTTATTCATATCCCCACCTGCCATGTTTCTATTATCAATAGATCTATAGAAATTAAAGTCACCCAAGAGTATCCAATTTTCATTATCAGGAATTTGCAAATCAAACAACCATTGGACAAAGAGGGACCTATCAAGATCATTACAAGGCCCATAGATTGAAACAAGAGTCCATGACTCAGCAGAGTGCTTTGAAGAAAAATTAATGATCACTGCAGACCTAGTGATGCAAACAGTAGAAGCAGCAAATATAGCCCCAACCCAACAGACCAAGATTCCACCAGAAGCCCTCACAGAAGGAGAGAAAGAGAGAGAATCAAAACGTTTTGGAGATAATTTCTTAATATAAGCAGTATCAAAACTCTCCTTTTCAGTTTCCTGTAAGCAAAAAACTGAACATCCACTTTCATCAATTGCTTGCCAGACAGGTCTGCATTCGTCTGCTGAATTTACACCTCTAATATTCCAACAGAATATTCTAATTTCTTGTATGATTATTCATAGAGAGCATATAAGGGAAAAAATAAGCAGAATATAATAAAATTACATTCTGAAGCAAACAACTGATTGGTCCAAACACATAATAAAGAGGGCAATCTAGTACAAGCTACAAAAGAGTGATAGCCTGGGAGAGATAAAAAGGACAAAGAGGAACAGAGATTAAGACAAACTAAGCCACCAGGGCTGAGGGACAGAAAGCAGAACAAAGTTCCAGAATTATTCCTCAATAGCCTAAACAGGGACAGACTTTGGAGAGGAAGCCAGTAGGCTTTCCTGTGTCACATCCTGAGGAGCAACACCACAAAGATTAGTTGCCATCTTCTGAAGGAGAGGGATTGGACAACTAGCAGGACCTTCCACTTCAGCTGAATCTTCCATAAAATCTGATTCTTGCAAAGAACTCCCTGAGAAAAGAAGCCCCGCTTCATGAGCAACCTGCTTCAGTTTTTTAACAGACTTACCCCTAGGGTTTCCAATTCTCTGGTTAGGATCAGGCTCAACAAGATCATCATCCTTAAAACCAATTTTGTGTCCATCAGAAATAGCAAGGAGTCTTGAACTTCTCCTTAAACCTGTAGTTACAATAGGGGTGACAGATCCAGCTGCCCTCTTCTTATAAGACCTTTTAGTTGGCATAACAGGATCCTCAAAAGCAGTGAGAGCCAAAAAGCTATCTGAAGGTGGCACAACAGCAAGAGGGGTAGGATCAAGGACTTCATCAGAACCAACAGAAACAGAATCAGAAACAATCCTTGAAGCCCAGTCAGAAGAACCAGAAGCATTTCCTTGAAAGGAGTGATGATCAGAGGTTAAGGCAGACCAAAAGGAAGCATCCTTGACAAAGTTCTCATCAAACATAACTTGGGGAAATCTCTGACATAAGAGCCTTAAAAGATTAGCATCAACAAAAACCTTCTGAACCATCAGGCTATTGTCAGACACATGCTCAATAGCTTCATCACTGGAGATACTGATGACAGAGTTAGTTGAATTACCTGAGCTAGCAGCTAGAATAGAACTAGTAGAAGATGAATTAATCTGCAACACATCTACAGGTTGTGGAACATTAGGCAAAAAATCAACATTTTCATTATCCTAACCCTCATCCCAATTACCCCAACCCTGATTCTGATCCTGATTAACATTTTGCACATTACCAAACTGCTAGGCTGGAGCATCCTCAAAATCGACATTAGGATCCACCGGGCCCTCACCCAGTGGCAGATCATCATCAAGAGGAAAAACATCGGCAAACTCACCATTCAAAGTGTAAACATAAATAGTCCAGGACTGACCATTAGGAGCATTTAGTTGCTCCCAAGCAACATACTGAGGCACATCATCTAAGGGCCTATTTGGGGGAGCTTCTAGCTGCTGCTGCTTCTCCTAGAATCAGAAGGTCCCTCAAACAGTCTAGCTTTTGGTCTAGATTATGAGAAGCTGTAGTTGTAGAATCCAGGTAATGAACTAGAAGCCAGAAGCTGGGAAACTCAGCTTTTCTAGATTCTTAGAAGCTGGCTATCAACCAGCTGCTTCTCAGAATTTTAAGCTCCCCCAAATAGGCCCTAAGTCTTTATACCAAACTCTAGCCAGAACCCTACCTTTAAGAGGGTAAGTATCATACCACCAATCTAACTCTCCAAAGGTTGAAATAACTTGATTCACATTATGGAAAGTGACATAGTCAAGAGGGAAATCAAGCAACATGATCCAATCACGATGATTATAGGGGGCGTTACGCCAGTTCGGACCTTGATCATGTCTAACAAAACGAACCTCATCATAAGCAATCGGCTGACCAAGAACTAAGGCATCCCGATGAACAGGTGATCTAATCTGGAATAAAGCAACAACATTTGGATGTGGATAGGAAGCAAGCACACGAATGTTCCTGACCTGATCAAGAAACTCCCCATCTCTGCACGATGTTCATCCCATTGGTCTTTAGGCAGCGGAGGGTGGACTAGAGCCAGAATAAACTGCTCATGATTCATGACTGAAGGAGTAAAGTTTACCGTATCAACACGCCCGCGATGATAAGGCCTGGCCAGATGCAAATGTAGACCAGGAGGGATGAAACAGAGTGGATTAGGGTGAAGATTCACCATGGGAGGCAGAGAACTCTCCCAAGGAGAGGGTTTCTTCGCAACAACTGAGAGTGGAAAACGGAGAGACTAAGGCTTGACAGTTGATTTTTTAACCTAGACTTTCCGAACCCTATGGGAAGTCCGTTTGACAGGACCGAAGATTTTGAGGATAGGCCTAAAACACGAGCAGCTTTAGGCCCAGAATTGAAATTGAAGAAAGACTTAGAAATCGCATTAGGAGCATTGCCATCGGACACCGGAACTTTAGGTCTAGAAACCGGTTTATGAGAAATCGGATCTGGAGCACTGATTGACACCTTCTCGCCGGCGGCCACCGGAGAAGGGCAAGGGGGATCAAGAACATGGAGGCGATTGAAAACCCTAGAGATAGGAACTGAAGAGGAAGCAACAACAGCAGATTTAGATTTCTTCTTAACAACAGTCCATTCATTAAGCTGCTCAGATTCCCACTGACGAAACTCAAACCCCCAATTAGGACCACCATCGCGCCATAAGAAGAATCTCATATGATAATCACGGCAAATATAGGAGCGAAGGTTGTAAATCCACAAACCAACAGACTTATTACAAACACAAAAAGTGTAACACCGATCATTCAGATGTTTAACAAGAAAACCGAGAACCACCCAAACAAGCTCAAAGAGCAAGGGCAACAGAGGACTCCTCAAGACGAAAGGTGGAACGAGAGACATCCACCACCAATTTGAAAGGACGAGAACAATAAAAAGAGGAGGAATGAACCGGAGTACCATGGAGAAGACGACATTGATTCTTGATCTCATTATGAAAATCCCACCCACCTGGCGGCGAGGGAGGCACCATGGCTAAGCGCTATCACGATCGCCATCACCGAAAAAAGCGGAGCTCGCCATTTTGCTTTAAAATTGTTCCACCATTTTTTTTTAATTTATAGTCCTAAATTTTTAGTTCCGGTTGTTATCCTCAGCTAGGACCAAAAATAATTTCGTAAATAGCGGGAAAGATCTTTAGTCACGGTTGGTGTTAACAACCGGAACTGTTCGCAAAAACAACCGGAACTAAAGATCTAAAGATATGAATTGAAAATTTTTTAGGTCATGGCTAGTGCAACAAAAAGACAAGTATACCAATATAATTGTTTTGAAGTTTCTCTTGGGCTTTGTGTATTTTGTCAATTTTGTTAGCCATTTCACTATTCTGCACAAGTTAGTTTTGTCAGTTTTGTCATCTGTGGGGCAACACTGAAGGGTACTTACTACTTAGTTCTGTTAGCAATGCACTTAGTTTTGTTAGTGATATCATAAATTTGTAGTTTTTTAATCTACTAATTAGTGGTTTTCTTAGCCAATTCAAATTAAAGTTAAATAAGGTTATACTTTGTTTTTTTTTGGCACGAAGGTTATCCTTTTGTTATGTCTTGCATAATCATGCATAAATAAGTCTTACATAATCAATGCTGATCATATCCACATTGATGGCCATTGAGAGTACTTTGGTTTGTTTTCTCCTGTATTTTGAGATAACTTGGAATATTTATTTCTTTCTCAAGAAGATGGATAAATTAAGGGGTAATTGTGTTCTTACCCTTACTTTGAGGTGCAATTGTGATTTTACCCTTACTTTTTACTGTTTGTGATTTTGTCCTCACTTTTTTTAGATGAAGTTCTCTCACAAAAATCCTTGATTTCAAATTAGAAGGAAAACACAAATGCTTTGGAAAGCAAGGGCAAATATGCAAACAATATAAAAGGGTATATATGTCTTTTATCACATATTTAACACCGTCAAGATGACTTAACAGAACATGGGCAAACTGATGTTTCGTTTAAAAAAAAAGGTGAGGACAAAATCACAAACCCTAAAAGGAGTGGTAAAATCACAATTGAGTTGCAAAACAGGTGTAACATACTGAAAATTTGCTATTTTCTAAATATGCATCATGCCGATTCTTATGTTCTTAATAACTTCCTAAACCTAAGAAATTATAATTTAACGGACCTCCTAAAACTAACATGCATAAAACCCCTCTTTGGTATTTAAATCTTTCGTGGTTTTATTATAAAAATTGATCTTGTTAAATCGAGGTATTCTCTTTGATTTGATTTTGCATCTTAAACCTTCTTTTGACCAAAATTTCCTTTATTCAAATTTAGTTTGAAAATCCTTTTTACTTTTACTATGGTCCAAGAAATCCTCCAACACTTCCTTTGAACCTAAACCCAAGCAATTCCAATTTTATTGGAATTAATTGTCAACACATCCTTTGATTTCAAACCTATTCTTATTTATCGCCAAATATCCAAGTTCCCCATTAGCCTCAAATACTTCTCCAAATCCTTGCCAAATAATTTGAGGCTAACATCCTATTTATTTCCCTTCCCTCTCAATCGAGTGCATCAAATAAATTCCGTTATATTCTATCTCTCAAAAGATTGCACTCAAATAAATTAGAACAACTAAATCCTAGCCATTCTTCTACCAAAGCCCAACTTTGACCAATACTAGCCACATATACTCACTTAACCAGTTATATATACCCTTACTCTCCAAGCAACCGAAATCCACACATAAAATATAAATGACATGAGTTGCTTGATCCCCTCTCCACCTTAACCTCCACCCCTCTAGAACCTCCACATAAAATATTAACCCAATAATCCCTATACCCTTTAAAGGAGATAGATTATACCCTAAACCCTAGCCCTCTTAGACGTTTATCGTTTTCTTGTTATTTTATGGCTTTTATTGAATTTGGCTCTTCCTCTTCTTCAATATAGTTTATTATATTTTGGAGGCAACCTGTGGTGTTTCGAGAATCGGATAATCAGGTTGCCTATCTCGGATTTATTTGCGTTGGAGCAAGACAAGTTATTATTCCTCCTCTTTGAGCATAATTATCCTATATTCTTATATTTCTATTCTATGCATTAGTCATTCATGATTTTGAATGCATAACCTGAACATAGCAAACCAGATATGCTAGCTTTGCTTAGTCCTGCCTAGTTAGACTGCATACAAATATAATGAACTTAGATTGGGACACTACGTAGGAATTGGTTGATTTCCGGGTGGCTAGTACTGTCTCAGTCAATATAGTTATTACCAAGTACTTATGTCAAACGAACGAGTACGACCGCAATTCTAGAATGAGGACATACCTTGCAAAGTAAGTTATCTAGCAAAGGTGGTACCTCTGTACAGTGGTTCTATTTTAAGTCCTCGCGCAGGAGGCAATTATATGCCGTGAAGGGCAAATGTGACATTTACCGAGGCGCAGGTAAATGATTTATTGAGCTCAAGTATATATATAATTGTGAAAACCTGGTTGAGATGACGGGGGTCTCTCAACCAGTTCTCTCTCTAAAAACCTCGGGAACGCCAGAACTCCTCTCGCTGCTGATAACGTTACGTTCAGAGCGCATGAGGATGAGAGTTCATGGAACAGGTGCCACTGATGTTAGTAACCGAAAAGCTTTGCCATGACTAAACTAATGAATATTGGCATGTCATGGATTGCGAGTAAAGCGTACATTTACTGCAGTAAAATAAACATGAATCTATTCGAATAGCCGTGCTCACGGAATTGAGTATCGGGACTCATATGGTACTTTGGTTAGAAACTTAATTCAAGATTTTACTAAATGTTGCTGCATTTAAAACATCAGGCTTTCTATTTCTATATTCTCTGCCTTCTGCTAGTAATCGTAATCCTACTCAAATATTACTATTTCATTCATTCATTATTGAATATAATAGTTTGCTGAGTACGTTGTACTCACCCTTGCTTCAACCCCCTTTTTCCAGAGTTAAATTGAAGTTCTTGCCGAAGCCAGGAGTTCAATCATATAAGTTAATCTTATTTCAATCTAGTTCTCAAATCTAAATTAGTTAGATGGTTTAAGTCTATAGCAAAATATTAAGGTTGAGTCATTCTATAGCTTTTGCTGTAATAGTTAGCCACAATCTTGTAAATTTCCCTATTATTTTATGTAATAACAACTCCTTTGTAGCCTTGTTCAAATGTGCGCAATGAAGATCCAGATTGTTGAAGCTGTGTCAATCTACTGATCCAGGGCTTGATACAGTTAAACATGTCGGTTTCCGAATCATTAGTTTTGGGATCCGACAACAGGGGTAAGAACGCACTTGCCCCTTTAGTATATGGTACATAGAGATACATGTCGGTGGCTATGTGCTTCTATTCCATACCTTCTGGGTATGAAAAAAAATGTTTGTTTTCTCCGTGCACAAACCACTAAAAAGATCTTATCATCCCTATATATGAACATTAACTTGCTATAAACATATTGCCATGTATATATTCACTTGAAGAATTAAGTTTGGAATCCATTTATATGTTATGATACACCGAGACATGAAAAGAAAGATTAACTAAACTTGATCAAAATTGTAAACACTGCTATGGATCACATGTCAACCTCCATGTCTCAGCATCTATACAAGTTTTACAACCATGCAACATGATGACTTGGAGGTGCAAGAAAACCATTATCACCAAACAATTGTCATCTACAAGACATAGACAATTTTTACAATGTATTTGTTTGGACTTTGGAACCCAAGAATTTTCTTGCACAAACTAGAATGAGAGAGAAAGTGACGCAGGGAGAGAGTTAGTAGACCAATCTTAATGAGATAAAGAATAATGCATCAATAGAGGATGAGAGGAGTCATATTGAGTCTAGCTAGACCTTGCTTTTTTGTCGCCATAGGGCATATTGAGTAGAAGGTGCAAGTGGATTGTATAGTGACCAAACAAATTCCATGCTAGAAATGCAAAAAGCTTTCAAATAATTTATCCGATCTTTGAAATACATATTTTCTAGGGTCTTTTAGAACTTCATAGAATATGTGATAATTATGACAAGTGGATAGACATTATAGGCTTTAGATAAATGATTATAAAATCTAATTGTACTTAATTCATGCCCAGTGCAGGCTAGCTAAACAAAATATTTGTGGGCTGGTTACTTTCGAGTACATATTTCCTAATATTTAATTACAAATTTTATAACAAATGAAATCATGGGAACAATCATAAAAAATTGCATTCCAAAAATAATGATAAGTTCATAGTTATATTTATCCATCCAATTGTGTTCTCGCTAGCCTCGCTCACTTGCATGAAATTATCCCATATGGGTTGTCTCCTACACTGCACAATAGAATTGGACTCAACAAGAATAAGGCCCTGTTTGGGGGAGCTTGTCTCAGCTGCAGCTTTTCCCAAAAACTGCTTCTGCTAGAAGCTGCTCCAAACAGTCCACAGCTTCTGATAATCTGTAGTTACAGATTCTGAAAAATGAACTAAGAAGCAAGAATCTGGAGAAGCTGGGTTTCAGAGCTTTTCCAGATTCTTAGAAGCTGGTTACCAAACAGCTGCTTCTCAGAATCTAAAGCTCCTCCAAACAGGCCCTAAGTATTCTACATAGTTTTGAATCCCCTCAATTCATGAATAAATAAACAACTAGAACCTATTTTAGTATTAGGTGTTTATACAAAAGTCGATTCATATTTTTAAAAAGGTTGACATATAAAGTATCATGCTCTGTCTATTCTATCATCTCACAAAATTTGAGGTTAAAATAAGATTACATAAAATAAAATAGAAAATAAATGTCAATTGGGAGTAAAGTGAACTAATTATAAAGAAACTTCTAAAATTCGTGGAAAAAAAATAGGTTCTTAGCTTTCACTTAAACTACAACACCCATTAACATAAGCATTGCATCATTTTTGAGTTTTTAGATTATTACATTTAAGTAAGCGATAAATGCAACAAAAGCTAACTAATTAGAGGGCTATATTGTGCAAACAGAACATGTTTAATATGTTTATTAAACAATAATGGCTTTGGAATATTTTCTATAGAAAAAATAGAGCCCTTAAATAATCAACTATGAAAGGTTTGCAATAAAAATTCAAGCAATATCAAATAAAGTGCCCGTGCGCAGGCTACATTACTAGTTTCTATAAAACTCAATGTGTATTGAACCACGACACCTAATAAACTAATAGCCATACATAACTATCCAAGTGTCATGTAGAATTATAATTTCACATCAAGTACTATTATACAAATATTGTCTATTTAGATATTATGAGTATACATTGTTTTCTTTGAGTTTTCTTTAAAGCATTTCTGAATTCTCCGCTGCAACGTACGGGTATTGTAACATACTGAAAATTTGCTATTTTCTAATCTTGCATCATGCCGAATCTTATGTTCTTAATGACCTATTAAACCTAGGAAAATATAATTAGAGAGACCTCCTAAAATTAACTTGCATAGAATCTCTCTCTCCCTCTCTGTTATTTAAAATCTTTTGTGGCTTTCATTCAAAAAAAATTGATCTAGTTAAATTGAGGTATTATCTTTGATTTGATTTTGCATCTTAAACCTTCGTTCGAACAAAATTTCCTTTATTCAAATTTAGTTTGAAAACCCTTTCTATTTTTAAGAATTATGGTCCAAGAAATTCTTTCAAAGCTAAACCGAAATAATTCCAATTTTCATGGAATTAATTGTTAACCCATACCTTTGATCTTAAACCTATCTTTTGATTCTTGATCCAAATATCCAAATTCCTCTTTTTAATCTAGCCGCCAATTTAATTCCTGTGGCTTGATTTCCTTTTTGGCACATGAATATAATTATTGCAAATAATTGCTCTTGTGCTAAGAAAATCCCAATTTATACCTCTCATCCAAAATCCTTCTCCATACATAAATATCTCCAAATTCAAAGTCCTAGGAAAAATTAGACTTCCTTCCTTTTGTTTTTGGGCCGAATTCTCCTTCTTCCTTACTCGGCCCAGACCGGCCCAGTTAGCTGAGCCGCCTCCTCTCTCCCTGTGGGCACCGCTTTCTGTGCGCCCTGGGCGCCGTTGTCGTGCGCCGTGATTTGCGCCGCCGCTGACGCCGTGCCGTACCTTCCTCTGCCGCCGCCAACGTCCTTCCGTCGCCGCTAAGAAATCAAGTCGACGTCAGCCGCACGTCACTTCGCTGACATCAAACACGAGCCGAACCGACATCGATGCCCAATCAGAGTACGAGACCGGCGCCGTCATCCTCCTCCTCACGCTACCGTCGCCGTGCCTTCTTCGTCCTCCTCTGCGAACCGACATCCGCCGCCTATAAATAGCCGGCGAGATCGTCCTTCCCTCCCCACATCAGAGCTTAAAGCTTTGCTTCTCTCTCTCTCTCTTGGCCATGTCCGGCCATGGCTGCCACCATCCGATCTCCCTCACCGGAGCCCCACTAGCCAAATCCTTGCACCACCGGCTTCGCCTCCCTTCGGCGAGCCCATTTTTCCCATTTCCCCCTTCTCCCCCACCCCATAGCAGCCACCACCACCACCTCTCTTTGTCGGTAAAGACGAGTGCTTTCCCTCGCCGTTCCGACCTCTTGCCTTACCCACTCTGCCACCACCCGACCTCCCCTGATGCGCAACGAGCGGGAACACGCTTGGCCGCCGCCGTCGAGGCCGTTCCACCACCGGAGCAACGACGCCCAATTCTCTCCCTCCTCTCTGTGTTCGGCAGGAAGAAAGGAAGATGACGGGAGGAAGGAGGAGGAAAATAAAAAGAAAAAGAAAGGCTGACAGGTGGGCCCCTGTACAGTAACATTTTATATTTTCCCTATTTAATTCAAATCCTATTCTTTAGAAGCTTATATCTCCTAAATCGTAGATCCTATTCTAGTGAAACTTGGACCTAAATTCATCTAAATTCAAAATCTACCTTTTGACACTAAATTTGCTATTTTAATATTTTATTTGAATTTATTCAAATATCGTTTGAATTTATATTTGCCTTTTCAAATATTTTATGTTATCCCAAATTACCCATTTAGCCACTAAAAAGCCGCCGATTGGAACTTTACGCCTTCCATAGGGACGTCCGCGGTTTACTATCCCCGACGTCGAACCGTTGGTTGTAAAGCCCGGCAAAACCAAACCTAAGGTCGAAGTGCTGCTCCTGGCACCCTATGCCTCGATGCGTACAGCGGTCGGAGCTTCACTATTCCCTCAACCTCCACAGCACGCCGCACAGTTAGCTCTCGGGCTATGTGTGATCCTAGCCGCTCCGCCGCCACTCACGGTTGTCGGAGTAACACTTCCGCCCCACTAAACAAACACAAACCTCCTATCCCTCTAGCCGTTATGCTATCTGTTGACACCGGCTAGAGAAAATACCAAATCTAGTCGTTATACTGCCCAACTCTAGCAACGACTAGCAAACAACCAAACCCTAGCCGATGCCTTCCTAGTTAAATTTCAGTCACCATCCAAATTCCATACCCACCTATCTACCATACTATTAGCCACCTACTCTTCTAGAACCTGTACATAAAATATAACCTAGCCGATATGTTGCCCTACTCCACAATCGGCTTAAATATAATGAAACCCTAGGTATTATACTACCCAAACCTACCACCAGCCAATACTAACCACATACTCACTTAACCAGTTATATCCCTTACTCTCCAAGCAACCAAGACCCACACATGAAATATAAATGGCATGAGTTGCTTGATCCCCTCTCCACCTCAACCTCCAACCCTCTAGAACCTCCACATAAAATATTAGCCCAATAATCCCTATACCCTTTAAAGGAGATAGATTATACCTTAAACCCTAGCCCTCTTAGATGTTTATCGTTTTCTTGTTATTTTATGGCTTTTATTGAATTTGGCTCTTCCACTTCTTCAGTAGAGTTTATTTTATTTTGGATGGCAACGTGTGGTATTTCAAGGATCGGATAATCAGGTTGCCTACCTTAGATTTATTCGCGTTGGAGCAAGGCAAGTTATTATTCCTCCCCTTTGAGCATAATGATCCTATATTCTTATATCCCTATTCTATGCATTAGTCATACATGATTTCAAATGCATAACTTGAACATATAGCAAACCAGATATATGCTAGATTTTGCTTAGCCATGGCTAGTTAGATTGCATAAAATATAATGAACTTAGATTGGAACAGTATGGTAGAAATGGTTGATTTCCAGGTGGCTAGTACTGTTCCAACCGACATAAGACTGCCAAGTACATGTGAAGAACATACGAGTATGACCGCAATTCTCGTATGGGCATAGACCTAGCTGATTAAGTTATCTAGCAAAGGTGGTGCCTCTGTGTAGTGGTTCTTATTTAAGTCCTCGCGCAGGAGGCAAATTTATGCCGCGAAGGGCAATATTGTGATATTTACCGAGGCGCAGGTAAATATTTGTTTGAGATAAATTATGATGTCATATGACTTGTTTGTGAACCCTGATTGCGATGACGTGGTGTCATACAATCAGATCTCTCTAAAGACCCCGGGAATGCTAGAACTCCTCTCGCTGCTGATAATGTTACGTTCAGAGCGTATGAGGATTATAGTTCATGGAACAGGTACCACTGATGTCAGTGATCGAAAAGCTTTGCCATGACAAGGCTAATGTGTTTGGCACGTCATGGATTACGGGTAAAGCGTACATCTATTGCAGTATGAATATTATTAAAACTATTCGAATAGCCGTGCTCGCGGTTATTGGGCATTGGGACTCACAATGGCATCTTGGTTAGAAACATAATTCCAAATTTTATTAAATACTGTTGCATTTCAAACATTATAAGCTTTCTACCTCTGTATTCTCAGCTTTCTACAAGTAAACCTAGCTCCAATGAAATACTACTATTTCATGCATTCATTGTTGATTAATATAATAGCATGCTGAGTACGTTGTACTCACCCTTGCTTCAACCCCTCCTTTTCAGAGTCTATTTTGAGTTTTTGCCAAAGCCGGGAGTTCAATTATATAAGTTAGTTTCATTGTAACTTAATTTTAGTATAGACTAGATAGATGGTTTAAGTCTATAGCAAAACATTAGAGTTAAGCCATTCTATAGCTTCTGCTGTAATAGTTAGCCACAATCTTGTAAACACCCTATCATTTTTATGTAAAGAAATCTCCTCTGGAATCTTATTCAAATGTATGCAATGAAGATCCAGATTGTTGAACCTGTATCAATCTACTGATCCAGGACTTGATACAGTCTAAACATGTCGGTTTCCGAATCATTAGTTTTGGGACCTGACAGGTATGCACTAGTATACTTACATAGTTCATCTCATCCTCACTAAGTGTAATTAATGCTATTTCTCTCTTCTCTCATTAATCCACATCACCCTAATTATTTCTAGTCTTTGGATGATAGATTTATGGTTCAAATTGTTTTTCTTTCTTCTCTTGTAATACCATGCAATCTCAATTATTTTAGGTTCAAAATTCATAAGTATCAATTTGTTTTAGTTTTAATAATCATATTGCATCTTATTTATATATAGTCCCTCCTTCCCAAATTGATAGTGAAACTAAATTTTCTCAAATTGATCATCATATAACTACATAGACACGGTCAGGGTTACGGATAAGGTATACCCCCTATCCTTGGACATACGATTGTATACTGATATGGTATACCCGCGCGTATATGGATAATTCCTGTGTAAGTTAAGGAAATCTATAACGTGATAGAAACAGAATCACAGATGGAAGGAGTACTACTCGGACAAGACTAGGTCTTTACCATATCATGAGGGGTCCGATATCTCCGAGTCCTACTTGGAGATTATCACGCCCAGAAATTCATGAACCAGAATTTCTAAGCTGAATGTGCATCAGACCCCTGTCCAGGACCAGCTAGGGTACACAAACGACAATTGTTGACATGCAGATCCACGTCTTACAAAAACATAAAAGATTACAAATGCAGTGGAAAAAGATAAAAGCGAGCTAAGCCTGAAGACTTGACTTCTGCAGCGGGCGACTCCATTCCACAGGCATCCTTGATGGTAGCGACGAAACCAACTTCTTCGAGACATCTTCAACTGAGAAGGACTTCAACTCTGGTGTGGGGGAAAAGAGAGCAAGACTGAGTACTACCCACTGTACTCAGCAAGTCATACCGGAAGAGAAGGTATGATGCAGGATATATCCAAGGGAGGCTAAAGGTTCTTTTGCGATAAAGCAGGCATTTAAAAGCAGAAGTTGAAAACAGTAAAACAGCTGTAGTGATTTATCAATATTAACCGATCACTGTCCAACGCTACACCACGTTGCAACAGGCCCAACCAACCACCTGAAATACACCAGTTCATAAGCTAACTAGGGTGGAGACTAATCACGGTGAATCTGGTCGACCGCTCATAACCGCGGGCATGCTATTCGAATAGTTTTACTCTAATTAGAGGTGTACAACTGTACCCACAAGACACAGCCCCACGACACGTTTCCGTGCGCCGACATGCCACCACGACATACCGGAAAGAGGCCGTGACAGGACCCTTCGCATAACCCCCTCTAACCGATCGCACCACACCTTAGGGTTCGCCCCCGTCCCTAGCAGGCAACGGGCAGCCCACCTTTCGTGCCTCGGTGAATCCGGAAGCCGATCAACCGGACACCCCGGCCGACCCAACCCCATCATGCCCACCCTCGCCTGGGTACGTCGGCTAGAGGAAAGCTACACTACAAGCCCAGCCGTTGCCCACGCTGGCTTGTGGTAAGCACGATAAATTCTTCCAGGGATTCCCGCGAACCGGTCCTTAATCGCCATGGGCACAACTAGCAAAACCATGCACCTACAGCCCACCATGTAGTGTATTTTAATTAACCAACACCAATGCGGTGGCACTAATCCAAAGCTATGCCGATAGTCAAAGTCTATGCATTAATGTGATTCCCCTTTTGTGTACTAGTTGAACTAAGCATGGTTAAGCATCTCCTAAACCAACATCTAGTCATTTTAATACCCAAGTTATCAATGGCGTAAGGGAAACAACATATAGCTGAGTAATAGGACCCATCCCACATAATATTGTAAAACGATGCAACATTTAATAGAAATGCGGGACATTTGTAAATTGGGTACAATATGATCAATTTGTAATGCATGACTTGCCTTGCTCTCGCACAGATGAGACCACAGCAACGTCTTCGAGGAACCGCGGATCGACGAAACGACCGAAATCTACGCGACAAACAAAGCACACAAGCAAAACATGCTATAAGTCTACTGAAACAGGAAACCAAACCATTTTTAATGGATTCTATACATTTTTATGAATTTAATGAGACTTGAATGGACTTAAACGGAGCTCGGATGAATTAGTTATGATTTTTAGAAGATTCTTTGTGTTTTTACTATTAAAGAAAAGCCTTAATGTATTTATTGCGCAATAAAGCATCCCAGGGCTGACGTCAGCAGGGGGAGGGGCGGCGCCGATGTCATGTCCCAAAATGACCCTAAAATATATCCTTTAAAATTATGCCTAGAATAATTAAAATCCTTGTGAAAGCCTCCAAAAATTAAAATGTGCAAAGTAAAAGTCAAACAAGGCTTAGAGGATTTTTGTATATTTCCTAAAGGCCTAAAATGTGTAAATAAATTTTAGTGGAATTTTCAAAGCACAAATAATAATTAAGAAGAAATAAACAAAGTTGAAAAAGTTTTATAAAAAGAAAAACCCTAAAAGTCCCCCTTCCCTCCCTTGGGCCGGCCCAGCCCATCTCTCTTCCCACCCTCTCTCTCTCCTCTCCCCGCGGCCCACTCGGCCCCTCCCCGCGCGCGCGCCGCTGACGGGCGGGCCTGCCCGCCACCCTCGCTGATGGGTGGGGCCCACCCGTCATCCCCTTCCTCCCGCCGCTCCCGCCGCCCCGCCCGCGCCAAGCGCCGTCGCCGCCGCCAAATCTGCCACATCCCGCCGTCCCCACGTGCAATAAAGTGGGGGAAATCAGTCCCCGTGATCCCCTCTCCCTTTCCCCCCATTTTTCCTTCTCTCTCTTGCGTTCAAACGGGCGGATTTGCCCCCGCAAATCTCGCCGGCGCCATTGATGGCGGCCGACCTCCCGCGCCGGTTTCCTTCCCCTCCGGCCGCTCTCTCCCCCTTCCAACCCGATTTAAACCCTCCCCGCACCTCCTCCGTCCGTTTCCGCCTCTCGCCGCCCTTCCTCCTCGCCGGATTCGAGCTCGCGATGTCGCTCTCTCTCTCCGCCGTCGCCCCCGAGCTCCGGTCCGCCGCCGTCGTCGCCCCGGACCGCCTCCCACCTCGGCGCCGCCTCCTTCGGCTTCGCCGCATCCTCGCCGACCTCGTCCACCCCTCCGTTTCGGTCGCCGACCGCCGGAGCGCCGCCGTCCCCGTCTACCCTAGCCGCGCCGCCGCCTCCCTCCGCTCCGGCCGCCTCCTCCGTCGCCGCCGTCGCCCCGGGGTGAGCCGTGGACTGCCGCCTCCATTCCCCCTTCCCTCCCCTCTCTCGGCCGCCGCTCCGCCGCGCCGGTGGTCGCCGGCGGCGACCATCGGGGCGCGGGGGCGCCGCCTCCCGCCGACCGCGCCGGCATGGCCGCCCTCGGGCGCGCCGAGTGGCTGCCGCGTGGGGCCCGGCCGTCAGCCGCCCGCGTCCTTGGGTGCAGCTGACGCGTCATTTAAAGAGCATATAAACTTCAAATGGCCATAACTTGGCCATTTGATCTCGGAATTGGACCGTTCAAGTCTCTAATTTTTCCTTAAGAGGTCAAGAACCCATTTTTGTGCTTTGTTCCTGCTTGTTATGTGGAGTTTATTAGAGTAAAAGCCCTTTTCTTTTCCGTTGGTCGTGTAGACGCTGCAGCTTCGGAAGATCCGCTCTTCGTGGAGGTTGAAGCCGACGTTTGGGAAAGCGAGCAAGGCAAGTCACATCATCCTTGAACATATTGAATCCCAGTTTATAAAATTATTTTGATTTAAATTATTGCATTATCGCTTTATTTAAATTCCCGCGTTATCGCTGTTTTATCTAGCCATGCCTATTTACCTTTGTTATGATCTTATTGTTGTTATTGTTATTAATACCTTGTTCACCCTAGAATAAACAAAAGCCCAACTAGTGGATACTCTATTCATGGTACCACTAGTATGGATTTAGGTAGATGCTTCGCGGATTAATTAGGCAACATTAGGTGGTTTTACAACTCTAGACTTTGGGAATATTCTCATCACCTGGACACTATGGAATGGTTGGATTATTGTGGAATTGGATTCACACCTCCCCCTCTATTCAAAATCCTCAAAATGGTTTTAGGCTAGGCTCGGGGTGCATGGTTTTGATAGTAGCACCTCGGCCATATAAGGACCGGTCTTTGGGCCTCTGTTGCAAAGCACTACTGTACTTCCACATGTCTAGTGGGTAAGGCTTAGTTTGTGGCTCAGTCTGGTCATAAACAAAAGTACACGGATGGAGATGGACGAAGTCGGGGGTCGATGGACATCTCTAGGGCAAATGAAGGCTACACGAGCTGCGGCCCGGTAGTCGAGATGTCATGGCACAGGGCCGGTGTCCTGCTGCTAGGGGCTCAGTCCTGCCTACCTGTCCCGGAGGTCCCGGCCGTAGGTGGGGTTGGGTCGGTACTCTTGTCTATGGCTAGGATGGGTTGGAAACTATGTCACGTCTTCTGTCCGTATACCGTGGTGGTTTGTGGCACGTGGTTACACGTGAGGAAGATGTGTCTTGTGGGTAAAGATGTACACCTCTGATCAGAGTATAACCTATTCGAATAGCCGCGCCCTCGGTTATGGGCAAGCCGAGCAATGTACCCAAGTTAGTGTTTTAATTGTTAAAACCTGCTTAACAACTAAAATGTGGAATGGTTGGCCTGGGTTGGCTTGGGATGAGCTGGGACCCAGGGTCGGGTTGCCAGTTCGGTCTGAATCATCGTAGGCCTTGGGTTAAGGCAGGTTCGTGTGGGTTCACGGCCTTGATTAATAATCTTGTATAGCTCTAGGATCGTATTTACAAAATAGCTTTGAGCAACTAAGTGTCTTTTAATGCTGTTTACTGCAAACCCTAACCCCTTATATCATAACCCCCTTGTACTCCCTTGCATTTATTTTGCACTTATGGGTGTGTCTTGTTGAGTACGGTGGTTGTACTCAGTCTTGCTCCATTTTTCCCCAAATCCAGAGGAGGAGCCTCTGGATGATGAAGGCTTTGGTGTCTAGCTCGTGCCTGCCGTCAAGCACCTGTGGTCGTCGCCCTAGTCTTCCGCTGTTTCCCGTTTGTCTTTGTGTGTGCTGGGCCTTTGCCGCCCATGTAATAAAGTAACTATTTACGCTTCCGCTTGATAAACTCTGAAATGTATCAACTTTTGGTGTACCTTGCCTCCTG